ATGAGAGTAGCACACAGAGAGGTGGTTTTCAGATTATCCCAAGTACACTCCCAGAGTGTCCTGAGAAAGGAGAATGCAACAGCAGTACCAGCCATGACACAAAAGGTAAGTTCGACCGGAAATGTCCAGTAGACCGATAGCTCAGGGGACGAGACTCTCATGCGACCGACGGTATCGTGAACCTTAAACAACATATCAGTATACCGAGAACCGGGGCCGAGGAGACCAACATGTCGGTCTTGTGGCCTGCTGGTCTCGTGAGCATTTGACCATGATGTTGACAGCTTAACAGAAGATTTGCTGGACGAACATCAATGTACATTATCGATCTCGTAGGCTGTAGATCCTGTGTGCTGTAGCCGAGATTGACTAGTCTAAAGAGATGTCTTGTATAAAATGATAAATTGTCGACAATATTTTGTCCGACTTCAAAAGAAATTGTCTAATTGGTAAGTCGGATGCGCACTTCGAAAAAGAAATGGATAAGGACGAGGGTTTTGTCCACCCTTCGTACGACGACATTTTAGGATACCAAATACTTCTTCTGTTCTTTTCCATAAATACATTACCTACTCTTGTATTGATAACATGGCGTTTGTACCGAGAAGAGAATTTAAGATTATGAAGTAAGATTTTGTATTAAAAACGGTTAAAAGGTTCAAACTACATTATTTGACTTTCTTTTTTTTTTCTCCAATCGATTCTTCTTTAAAGGGGACAACGATGACAAGACTGGTGTTCTTTGTAGAATCAACAACAGCCTTCGCCAATCTGATTTCTACGCGGACCCTTGGTTCAACCTGGTATTTGTTTTACAATTCGCGTTTTACATGGTATATTGCAGTTGGCATTCCTTTCTTATACCCCATGCTCTGCAAAGGGGAATCTCTGTCCAGAACACCATTATCATGGCTTTCTCAGCAGCAATAGGAAATTCCATCAGCAGAGCTGCTGTAGGTGCCCTTACCAACAAGCTCTTCAATCCTGTCACTCTCTATCTCTTCGCTACAATCCCGAACATCGCCGCTCTGCTCTGTGATGTGTATTTGGTCAACTTTTACGCCATGTTGGTGACGTCATGTATCTCCGCAATGTCATTAGGAGGGAGATCGATGGTGGGAAACTTTGTTGTGAGGGATAGAGCGTCTCCCGAGAAATTTGATGTGGCGTATGCCGTCGACGAAGTCTCTATCGGGATGGGGATGTTTATTGGTGCCTACTTGGCTGGTAAGGAATCAGCGAAAACCTTTATGAAAATAAGCCATTCAAATATATTTCCTTAAGCAATCAAAACACACTGTCCTTTTAAAATCGTTTGAATTTAATATATTATAATAGATCGCACAACTTACTACATACCAGAAACTAATGAGTGATCGAATGACTGTAACTTAAAGGATTTAGTCATACGTACTATTCAAATCAACATGGTCTGTGAAATTTCTTCCATTGCTCTTTCAGGCATGACAGCGGATCACTTCTCATCCTATGACGCAACGATTAAACTATTAGCCATCATCGACGTCGTCGTTCTCCTCCTCATAGCGGTCGTGAGATACAGACCGAGAGCAATCCCCACCTGACCATGCAGTAATACAGATATCTTTTAGAGTTGGCTCTGAACGCGAGGCCGTTTAAAATTTTGCTCAATATTAAGTTAAAGGCAATAATATACCCTCATGTTTACAATGTTTAACTCTTATAATGCCACAGGGCTAATCCCCATTGTACCAAGCCCCAAATCACGGAGTGCCAAGTTTATATTGAGATAATCTGACTAACGCGATGGTTCTATGAATAGCGACTGCAAAACACGTAGCACAGTCCAATGAGCACGAACAATAACTGCTACTACGAAAGTGTGCACGCACGCACATGGCAGCGTAGCAATAGCTTGCTCGCACGTACAATGCACTATAACGATAGTGTGCATGCACCCTCATGGCAGGCTATGAGTTAAAGCTAAACTTTAGTACTGGTAATGCGATTGCATTGTGAAAGAAATGGTGTGGAAAGGATCAGAAACAGTTGATCATGTAGCATGTAAGTATTGGTGTGCACTGCAAGGTTCTGGAGTCATCAAAATCATAATAAATTTGACCGAGTCTTGGTAAAGTAACAAGCACTCACATAGAAAGCTATATATGGGACAACACACATGGTGTCGGGGCTAGTACTACCTTGATTTCCTTGTCTTTCTATGCTCATTATTCAGCCAGTATACATTTTCTTCCAAAATTGTTTGGCACATGTCATTTATTTGTAATCTTGAACATTCAGTGTAAGTTTCGTTTGATTCTGTGAGAATTATTATTTTTGTTTTACCAGTACTGGAGTTTATCTTTAAGGCTACATTTTGGCGCACTCTAGTTTGGCTCTGACCCATGTGGGGAAACCGTTATGTTTCTCTCTTCTTTTATTTAGTTCTTTTTTTTGTTTGTCGGTCTTGTGGAATTTTGGAACATTCTTCTATTCCATGTTTTCTAATGTAGTTCTTTGTTTTGTGGGTCATTGGGCTTTCGGTCTCGTGGGTTGCAGCTATTGGTAATTGATAGTCATCGAATTTACATGTGGTCAATCCTCACACTACATTAGCCCAGTAATCTATCAGACATAGATGGTCAGATGTATGGAATTCTTTACCTAATGATATTCGAAATATAAAATCAACAAACTCCTTTAAAAGAGCACTCAAATGTATTATCATTTCACAGATGTAAGATATTACTTACATTATATAATCTATATATAGTCAGTTCTAATTATATCGAACACATTTTTTTTTTATAAATAGGCTCAACAATTTACTTTTTTTTGTTGTTGTTGTAAATAATGTAAATAGTTCACTACAAAACTTTAGGAATTCTATTTGTCATATATCATATATTTGAAAGGTGTTGTAACGATTCAAGCTCTATTTGCCTATGTTTCATCACCTTTGTGTGTTCATTCTTCAAACTGTATATTAGTTGCAACTTGTCTTTGATATCAGCTCGTGGGATATTATACAAATCATGCATGTTTGCGAGTGCATTGGACTGAATATAGCACTACACGCATTAAGTCACAGTAGGATAATGAACGAGACTTGCCGAGTTCATTGTCCGTCTCACTGTGAATTAACCAAGTGCAGTGCATATGAGCTAAAAACAAATGTTATTTATTTGATCAGATTGGTCTACAATATGAGTATAAAGTCGAGAAATTTACTAAAAACCCGATCAAAAAGCCAAGACTCGTACAATCATAAAAGCCGTAATTTTCTTTATTGGAAAACGTCACATCATGCAATGACAATCACGGTTTATTCTCATGTCACCCACATTAGGGTTTTCTTATCATTTGCTCGGCCGTGAACAGTTCCTTGAAATAAAAGTAAGGTCATCCTGCATAACATAAGAGTACAGAGGCGAACTACCTGTGGAAGATTTGTTCAATATAAGGACAAATAACACAGAGAACAAAACACAAACATCAAACACAAAGGTGGGCTCGCGCAGCAAGCCCGAATAGCAACACACCCGACAAGCAACTGCATTGCGGCCAAAAAACAGCGAACAATAAATCCTGTCAAAACCCTCTGAAATACGAGTGCCATTATTTACATTATTTACATGGCAAAGTTGAGTTAATCGAAGAGTAAAGAAAGAGAGAGAGAGAGAGAGAAAGAGATAGAGAGAGAGAGAGAAAGAGAGAGAGAGAGAAAGAGATAGAGAGAGAGAGAGAAAGAGAAAAGAGAGAGAGAAAGAGATAGAGAGAGAGAGAGAGAGAGAGAGAAAGAGAGAGAGAAGAGAAAGAGAGAGAGAAAGAGAGAGAGAGAGAGAAAGAGAAACATGGTGCAGCATCCTAAGTTCAAGTGTTCAAGCAAATCGAACATGTTCACTTCTATTGTCACATGAAGACAAAAAAGTTCTACTTTCACTCATTAATATGAAGTGCACTGTTAAAAATGTTCATCTTCATTATTATGCCTGATTATGAAGGTGCTTTTGGGTCCGACCAATATTAGGACGATCATGAGCGTGAACTCTTGCTAAACTTGAATTATAAGGTAATCATGATTTGGGCAAAATACCATAGATGGGCAGGAAACTGCCCCCAAATATTGATCAGAAACAAAATTGCTATTCTTATGGACATTTCGCACCCAGTATCTTTTGATACGCTCTTTACATAATTGTTCTTACAAAGCAACTTATTAAATTGCCAAGATGAGAACATGAAACTCATCTGAATTAATCGAGGTCCTAAAAACACCAATTATATATACATAGTATTCTCCGTTACAATCAACGGACCACAAACAGTATTTAACGAGACAATATAGTCTGTACACAATCTTGATGATAGCCCTTGAAAACTGTTAGGGTTTTTTCATAACCTAAGCTGATTATATACACTGATTAGTTAATCGAAATTTTCCAACGAGCTACAACTATATACATTTTCTAGAAGGCGACCATAAACAGATCTACAATATTCATATTGACGGGACCTTCAAACAAAATCAAAATAAGGGCAATATTGATAACCTATGGAATTGCCTATAGCAAGTATATAAATCAGTCAGACGGAGAGAACACCGTCTCCATTGGTCATTGCTAATGGAGCAAAGGTGAAATATTTCAAAAAATGCACTTCTGGGAGCCTTCAAGGGGCAAACGCAACAGACGTCGCCTCGCAATGATTTTATGCAGTTCAACTAGGAAAAGACATTTCTTTATCAAGACATGAACTCCTAACGATCATGGAGAATAGAACTGGATGGGTAAAAATCTTGTTAAATCGCTCGACCTAGGAGTAAAGAAACCATACTCGGATTATGTGACCTTGTCACGTTCGCACATTTCAATAGGTGATGCATAACGTTGTCCTGGTTAGTGAATCTGGCTTTATAATACGTTAATTTTCTTGAAAGTCTTTGCAATTGTGTGTTTTAAGTGCATATGACAGGGAGACGGCGATCCGTTTATCTCCCCTGCCCCCCCCCCCCCCCTCAATGAAAGCAACCATCACAATTGGTATTGTTATGAAGCCAGTCTCTCCCTTATAAATCAACCACTTTCACCGGCCCAGAAACTTTACACAACATGGCGGGACGTCTTCTTCTCAGATGCAACAGAAGATTTGTTCTGGTTGTTAACACGGAGAGGTATCTTGTAGGCGAGTTGCGGGTTACGGATCAAAGTGTATGCCACAAGCCAGCGGTTGCGGGCGATCCTCCTCTTCCTACTTGGTGATGGTGCCGCTGAATCTGAGGGGAAAGTATGTGAAAAATCCATTTTGAAGAAAATCAAGTTATTTAACGATATGTTATGTAAAACGCAACTCGTATAATGTCTGGAAAAAAAATTCGATTAAAGGATAAATACATGCTAATTGCGCTCAGCTAATCAAATAATGATGTTGCTCTTGATTAATGTTGTTATTGTCTTTTTGGTAGATATTGGTGTTGTAATGGGTTTTTTTCTTCAAAATAAATTATTGAATTGTTAATTTATCTACTTTTTAATCTATCCATTCATTCATTTATCAATTCATTCATTTATTCATTTTCTTGTCTTCTTTCATTCTTTTTCTTATATTTATTAATTCATTTATTGTTTACCTCCCATTTCAGTGGTACACTCGTCTTCGGGTTTGTACATCTTTTCATTGTTTGACCGACATAGCAGCTGACAGAACGTAACGAGCACAGGATGTGTCATGCTAACCTCAAGCGTGAGATATCCACGATAAGCCATGTAGCCTAGGAAATCGGGGAGACCAAATGGAAAATAATATAATTATTACATTAAAGGGGTAGTCCATCCTGATATTAAGTTGGTTTAAATAGAAGCAGATAAATGAGAGAAACAGGTAAGTGATGGTTTGAGCAAGAACAGATTAAAAACTACAAATTCTTTTTAATTTAAGGTGCTATCAAAAAAGCACAATGCCAACTCTGTGCCCTGTACTAAAATATATATATATATATATATATATTTTCCCTTAACAAAATTACATTCAAACATTCACCCTGAATAAAATCATTGCAAATATTTTTTTTTTATACATCCCCTGTATGAAACAAATATTATTCAGTCATCAATAACTAAGAAAATGAAAGGTTATGACATTTTCTGTACAGAGCCAATTGGAGAGGACCTCGCAAGATACTTCACAGTGTTGCTAATTTGTGCTTTATAAAAATACATTAAAATATAAATATATATATATATATATATATATATATATATATATTTCTTTAATGTGTAATTAATCAAACACAAATTGGCAGCGCTGTGCCGTACCTTTCGAGGTCCTCCCAATTCGATCTGTACAGAAATATCAGAAAATAGCGCTACATATTTGACTGCCAGGTATGACAACGGTTATAATGTTGGAGCGCCACAGCGTGACGGACATGTGCGCTATTGTAAGAAGCCACTATTCTTTTTATTATTACGAGAGTGATGACGATTATTGTTATTATTTTCATCATCAAAACGACCACGGATAATCATCCTACCACGATCGAAGCGTTCGAGCCCGCGGATGAAGAGACACTGGTCAACTCGGCCAATGATTACGAGCCCGACCAAAGCCGCCTTCAAGATCCGAAAGATGCATCCCGCTATTCCCAGGGGAACGGACAGGAAGATGAAGAAGAAATTGATGATGTGAAACAAGTGCCTGTAAACGTATGAGCAAAACAGAATGGGATACAACAAAATATGTGACACGACTGTAACTTCTTTCGAAAATAAAGCAATTTTAATAGCATTGTGCGTCACCTATTGAAATGTGCAGTCATGACAAAAAGGTATTACGTAATTCGAATACAGTTCCTATCGAACGTATACAATAAGATTTGGGAATTGTCCTTTATTAGTTGATTTTTCGATAATAGTTGCGACTGTATTATATTGCATAATTTCATTTTACAACTGGATTTCAGTTAAACGTTAGTAAAGAGTGATATATTGGTAGATAAATAGCCGTTCTTCTTGATCTATGTAAATAAACAATCACGTAACTCACTAATAAGTTTGCTAAATTGATTGCAGTCGGAATATTAGGTTAACAATTTAACCCAAACGCTGGAATCTATGGACTAAACTACTTTTAAATCCTCCGAGTAATTATTGTTAATATAATCTCTCAATATTTCAAATGTTTTACACTATCTGAATGACAAGACTGTTAAATCTATTAAAAATATTCTTAATTTAGAAAAAAAAATATAAACCAATTAAATAAAGAATCAAGTCACTTTCTTGGAAATGAAACGTAAACATGTATAATATTTATTAATGTATGTCTAACCATTCACTTACAGGTTTTTTAGTTCAAGTGCGCCATCTTCGTTCGCTTGGAGAAGACAGTAACGAGCAATTATTCGAAGAGCGATGTAGAGAAATACAATTATCACAATGTGTAGCCTGGTCACAGGAATAAAATATAAAAACCATCAGTGGCATAACTAACGGGTCATGGGGGCACTGTCACCTCCAACCCCCCCCCCCCCCACACACACAAACACCGTCGAACGGGGAGAGAGAGAGAAAGAGAGAGAAAGGGAGAGAGACAGTGAGAGAAGAAGAATAAATACAATGTAGGACGGTATGCATTGTCAACCAATCTATTTAGATCTCTTTTTAAATATTTGCAATATTCTTTTTTTCATCACCTATAATCACAAAATAATCCTCTAAATATATTCAAGTTATATCAATTCAAATAATAAGAGTAAGATTGGGAATCCCCACTCAGAAAAATGAAGGTTTTTGTTTTTGTTTATACGGTTGACGGTTACAATGAATGATGTATATACATTTTTATGAAGGTAGTGACTAAAATGTCAGGCCAAGATATAAAACATAAACTTAAAAATGATACGAGTAGATACCAGTCTTCTCTCATCAGCTTCCCAAATGAGGCGTAACGAAGGAGAAACTCGAGTACGATGAATAATGCCCAGACCATAACTTGTAGAATAATGAATCCTGATGAAAAAAATTCAAGAGTGAAAAGTAAAGAGAATTAGAAGATCATATAAACTTGTGAAAAAATACCTTCCCTGTAAAGCTCGTGATACATTTATAGAGGTAACAGAAGCCGATGAGGGGATCGGGGTGGGGGCAGTTGAGGAGGGGTGGGGGAATGGAGTATATATATGGAGGATATATGTATTCAAATTCTTCACATTTATTGACAACATGAAATTTAGAAGAAAGCTCATGCGCCCTCTACAGAAGGAAAATGAGGTGGGTGTTGTTGTTGTTGTTTGGTGCCGGCGAGTCATCCCCGACTCCTGGTGACCTCATGGACAAACCCTCCTCAAGCTACTCTGTCCTGTGCAAGTATGCACCCCTATCTTGATGACATGTTGTTGTTGTTAGGGGTCATCCAGTCGTTCCCGACTCCGGGGACCTTATGGACAAACCCTCCTCAAGCTACTATGTGCTGTGCAAGTATGCACCCCTGTCTTGATGACATGCTGTTGTTGTTAGGGGTCATCCAGTCGTTCCCGACTCAGGGGACCCCATGGACAAACCCTCGTCAAGCTACTCTGTCCTGTGCAAGTATGCATCCCTATCTTGATGACATGTTGTTATTGTTGGGGGTCATCCAGTCGTTCCCGACTACTGGTGACCTCATGGGCAAACCCTCTCCAAGCTACTCTGTCCTGCGCAAGTATGCATTCCTGTCTTGATGACATGTTTGGGGGTCATCCAGTCGTTCCCGACTCCTGGTGACCCCATGGACAAACCCTCTCCAAGCTTCTCTGTCCTGTGCAAGTATGCACCCTGTTGTTGTTAGGGGTCATCCAGTCGTTCCGGACTCCTGGTGACCCCATGGACTGATTTGTATTATCTGTAAACAATTGTTGTACATGGTGAATAAATAAAACAAACAAACATATTCTTAATTCCTGCAAAGTTCTACAGAATAAAGGGAATTATGAAAGTTGTTTTTTAGGCTCAAGGGGACGTTGAATCCTGCTATCGCCCCGCGGCGTGCCGAGGGGTGATGGCAGGATGTATGGTACTCGACAGCCTACAAAAACAAATATGCCTCGAATATCAAAGCAGTCTTCATATCTTTTATAGGCCTATACCGAATTCAAAATCTACAAAGAATTATTACCTTATCCTTTTCTTAAGTAAAGAATGGTTAAAACATCACATAAATCTATGACACTGTCTGTAAATCTACGCTGGAAAGTTGCCTGAATGTTACAATCATTCGGGAATCGCACACACACTGCATTGTATTTTGAATCCGCGCTCGCACATAGAAATTTGTACACGTAAATAAATGGGGATCTCATCAAAATTGTTTATGTGGCCCGTTCACCGGGGAATGCGGGCATCTTTTAAAAGACTATTGACCGGTAGGCAGGCATGCGGGCATCTTTATAATTATTTCAAATGAGTCTAATTTCGTTCTCTCTGTTTTGCTTTTCTTTTTACTGTCCAGCATTGACTTTCATACAGCACCACGGGGAAGACTATCCATTCTCATCTATGTTGTTTTGCTTACATATTTGTCTTTTATTATCTTACAACATGACTTTTGTTAAAACAAGTACTTACCAGAGATGAGAAAGGCGATGGTGTATCCACTAAACTTCAAAGCCGAGAGCTGAAAAAAAAAATTGTGAGACGTATATTTGTACATGTCCCACGTCCGAAATGGCTGATTACCTCGTAAAAGGAAATTGTCGTGAAGCTTTAATACGGATAAGATATTTGTTATGTAATACATAATACTGTAGGCCTATGGCGTGAGGATTTGGAAAAATCGAAAGGAAAAAAAACTTACCCAATTCAGAAAAAAATAATATATGGGACTATAGACAGTTATGGCATGACAATTTCTTAATAGTTATTTCTCGTTATAAGTGCATGTGCAGAGCAATCGATTGTGTAAGCCATACCATGCTAGATATTCCTCAAAAAAAGTGATATTAAGAACGAAAGAGGAAGCTCACAAACTATTTTTCATTTTACGACAACTGAACCTTAACCTCTGCTTACAATATTATATTCTTTAAAAGTTACTAGACAACTCACCACAACTTTAGGGGGTTTTTGCTGTATGTTGGTCAAGGGGAAATTGCCTTTCCAGAGACCACGTGTGTTGTTCCTACAACATGCATATTGAAGGTAGGGAGATATTTAATTGCACTTAATTAAACGTTGTATGCCATCGTGGCTTATGATTTACAAAGTTTCATTTTAAAGATACTAAATGGTTACAGAAGAAGAAGGAACAAAGGACTGAATTGATGAACTTGAAAGAATATAACATTTGACTGCTCCCAGAAAATATGAATAATCAGTTCCTACAATTTGTTTGACTTCACTTAAAGGTACTATGTCCCTTTTGCAGCCAACCTCAAATTCTGTAGAACTTTGCAGGAAGTATGAATATGTCATGTATGTCCTAGCTGTGAAATTTAAACGTTAGCAGTGTCCTCATATTCAAATTATGCAAGGAAATCCGTTTACTTGCTAGACTTCACTGTCAGACACTATTGAGTGACTGACTGGCTTTTTTTTCTTCTTTGGTAATAACATACATGAAAAGAGTTGTAAAGGGTACATGAGCATTTGTCTACATCAATAACCTACTTCTTGTGATGGCCAAGATTAAACTGATTGAATCTTTGCTCAGCATAAAACGTATGACCATTCGGTACAATTGTCTGAAAATCAAAACTATTACTTTTGGGCTCTATAGCCGTAAAGTCGATTTGACAACTAATAGTCGTTATTTTCCCAATTGAAGACATTTTCAAGCCCCACCTTTTTTAGGGAAGTTCTAAATTAGTATTATCTTTTAAATGCAGTTGGAATTTAGCTTTTTCATTTTTTTGGCCTGCAAATGGGACATAGTACCTTTAAAGCAACTTTTTGTCAAGCTCATATTTCCATGTAAACTACATCACCTATGCTCCTTAAAATGCGTTAATGACATCATACTAGTGGCGAATAGTCATCATCGTTACCGTCATCATCTTCATCTTCATCATCATCATCATCATAATCACCACCACCATCATCAGTATTGTCGTCATCATCATTATCATCATCCTCATCATCTTCCTCATCATCATCCTCATCGTCGTCATAATCATCATCATTATCGTCGTCACCCTTATCATTATTACACCATGACAGTTTTATATGTTACCTGTAGTTACGCAGAGTGAAGAAACTGTTCGTGACAGCGATGACAAATGCCACAATACAGGAGGCATAAAAGGTGGCTGAAAAGTTAACAGCTGTAGAAAAACATTATTTCCATTGGCATTGCTTGAAATATAGGTTTGGCATATATCATGTGTTCCTTCCTTTAGTCACATTATGTACCAAAGTAGATATACCAAACACGAATTATGTAAAGATAAGCTATGGTTCCTACATCGGTTATATCTATACAATGATAGAACATGACATGATTAAGCTTTTAAATTTGCTAATGATATCAATTACCTAAATTTTCCGTTAAAGCAGTGTCTAATACTCACCATGTAAAATCGGCGGTTTTTCATATCGTTTTAAAAGGTGCCGCATAGCCGCGATGTAATAAGCACAGATCTGTATAATTATGATATAAACATGTACGAATTGAGTTTGATTCCCTCCGTGTCCCATTACAATTATAAACATTAAGTATGCTAATTGTCAGAATCGGTAATCCCTCTTGAATTAAACCATTAAAGGCTGTCACTTAATATGTTCAAATTTTGCATTGTTTATGATCAACAGTAATTTCTTTAAACAGAAGGACTGTTTCTATTAAAGAAGGCTTTTACGATACGGCTGTCAACTGATAAGAAATGAAATCATCTGTCAACACAAAAGGTAAAGTATGACAGAAAGAATGCAATTAATCCAAATCATTATTATCATTGTAAATAGTGATCTGTCAAGCTTATGACATTTTTTTCTACAAGAAAAGTCTCTCCAAATGCTACGATATTGATCACTACTTGATCCTGTTTCAAATATATTTTCATATTGAGTCAAAAATTGCAAATAATTATGAATATTTTTTTCTTCAAAAACCCTGATATCCAATTCTTTTCCTTTCCAATGAAGCACAATCTTTGTTTGTGACGATCCCTTTTACCTGTGTATGATAGTATGTAACCATGTTAGAAATTCATTTTTTTTTGCGATGATATGTACATCATACTGAATATAAATAAACTACCAATCAATCAATTCAATCAATTTTCTTTCTTTGCCTTTTTTTTTTGGGGGGGGGGGTACCTACCTGATACATGCAGGCAACAGCGAGACCAACTGTGCAAACGATACGAGTAGAATACTTGAATCCTGAAATATAAATAGAAGGGGATGGAAATGAGTGAGGACACCTCATTAGTAAGTACATAAATAATTATAGATATACATAAGTTGTTGCAATAAAAGCGTTGCCGCTTCTCACCTGAACTTTGGAAGTCAATCGAATTTCAGTTTTAATATCAATTTCAAATTAAATCTCGATTTATGTTACTCATAAAAACAGGGGAAAGATATCAATGATATTATAAGAAATATATTTATTTTACATAAATGTGTGTGTGCGGGTGTGTGTGAATGCGAGTATGTAAGTGTAAACGAACAGTTAGATTCATGAATATATCATTTTTTAAACATATCAGCAGACAATATTTTCCTTTTAAAAATAACAAATAACAAAACTTCAACAGTGAGCCTACAACATTTATAAGTACGCCATGTCAATATAACATAACTCATTCAGCAATTAACTTATGACTTTAGATCAAAATCAAAAAAAAATTTTAAAAGGAAGAAGAAGAAGAAAAAGAAAGTTTACCTGGTATGTTTGGATAAAATCTTCTGAAAAGGGTTGTTACTGCTCCGCCTGACTGGTTCCTACTGGAATTTGAACGAATAAATAAACACAAAATACATAACCATAACTATTTATTAGACACCCATCATTTTTGTGTTGTTTTTTGTGTGTGTGTTTATTGGAAATTTGTATTATTACAATTATTACCACAAGCTGTCTCAGTGTTGAAAAGGACAAGTACTGCTTGAAGAAAAGTGCACAAGAACACACAACTTTAGGTACCGAGGGACATTTTTTTTAAATTCAAGACATGTATAGTTTGGTCGGTCGCTCGATCGACCGATAGAGAGAAAGAGAGAGAGAAAGAGAAAAGAACAAACCTGAAAGCATCCAAAACCCATTTGTTATACATTTAGACACTACGAAACACAAAAACATATGGACGAAATGTCTTTACATTTTGCCGAGAATTAGACTTGTAGACCTACTGTTAATAAGCACACTTGAAATTGATCTTGCGAGGCAATAATTTTAGCACCATCCGGGTAAATTTCCGGTTGTGCATGAATTCGCGTATTGCCAAGTGAGACACAGTTCTTAGCATACATTTTTAAAGGCAATGCAAATCGTGTGCTCAAAATAATAACAGGTACCTTTCAGTCAAAAGTTTGATAGCTTTTTAATCAAATAAAACTTCAAACGTTTGCCAAGTTCTTACCTTGCCCACGCGGTGGCGGGCAACAACAGATACCGAACTCGAACGCAGTAGTGGGTTTCCTCAAACTGCATTTCACGCTGGATGTTGAATGGAAAATTAAAAAGAAGCATCAATATGGATATCAAAAGCACATATTTCACGCGAATAAACTTCGTGTACTGTACATCTATATGTGTATGTTCAATGTTGATTGTATTTCTAGCACAGCTCAGTGATTAATATCGTCTCGTTTGTCACCATAAAACCGTCTGTCCATTTCAACTTGTTGCATGTGTTACTTGCCTCTGTGTGTGCAAATGGGACGTTTGAATACACGTCAGAGAACGAGCGATGATCATCTGAAAGTTTGGTTACTAATAAAGAAATATATAATTGAGTGGAGGTGTATGCCCCCCCCCCCTCTTTCCATGAGGACCCAGTATAGTATCATGTCATCTTCGAATTTTTGCTGCCTCTTTGTTTAATAAGTCCTAGACCTGTACACCCTGATTGGCTGGTTGGTTGTTTTCTTCGTATTTTGTTGCTCAGAATAGTCAGGGCTGGCTTTGAGTCACATTCTGTATGTATTTCAAAAAAATAATTTCGTAATGATAAAAATGATAATAATAATAATGATGAAAATGATATTGATGATGATGATGATGATAACAATGATATTAAAAAAATTACAAAAAACAATAATAATAATAGTAGTAGAAATATTTACATCTGTATTGTATTTAAGCGTTGCTCGTGCTACTTTCCTATTTCGTAATAGGAAATGGGCCTTTCACACATGACATGTCACTAGTCACTTTTGATATGCCATCAGATAACAAATAATGTCTACATATTTTATTCCACTCTGGGACTCACGACCAATCTTTACATGCGTATTTACATATAGCTTAATGTAAATTACTGCAATATATTTTTTGTAATTAAGTTCTTCATTATATATCATTGCATTGGGAAGAACATCTTCTTTTAAACAGATATTAGACCTTATATTTCCTTAAAGCCCCACTGTACTACGTATATCTACTTGCTCCCTTTATATAGAAAACAATGCCTAATCGTTGACCATTGGTCCCCCATGATCCTCTTTTTCGAATGTTAATTGAGAGCTGAGTTGATGAGATAGCCACCTGTCAGTGACCTCCCTGGGTGCACATGTGTAATCCGTCTTAGCCAAACTAGTACAGACGGCCTTTAAAGAAAAATCTAAAATCATTGAAACAATTCAGATAGAATTGCGAGTTCATTGAGATAATCATTGAGAATCGTTCAAAGTATACACATAATAGCAATACACGTTCCCATGGTTACCTGATAGGTAGTAAGAAATCGTCTGCACATGCGCACTGTCCTTCTGATGAAGTAAATTTCGAGCCCAATAAGAGATAAGACAACGGGTAAGTCTACAGCTCCTTGTATATCGCCTACTTCCGTCTAAAAAAGAGAAAAGAATCTTATAATCCCACTCAACCATCTTGACCAAGTCCAAGACCATGGCCCCGTTTCATAAAACTTGTTATTAATAATAAATTACAGTTACAGTTACTACTTTAGGCTACTAAAATCATGCGTTGAGAGCGAATTTGTGATAGAAATTTAGCATTTGTTATTCAAACAGGCCCAGATTCTGGCCGATTTTATAATATTTTACCTTCTGAGTGCATGCACGCGCGCGCTCGCCGCACGAATTCACATACCACAAAATAAAACAGATTCTCAGTGTGTATCCGTGCGTATAATTCCATGAGTGGGCGCGCACGTTGCCAAGAAAATTGAGAATAGTCCCGGAGGGGCCAATCGTAAGTCCTCCAATCAATCGCAAGTTTTCAGTCTCCCATCTCTTATGCACATAGTTGCGATTGATATCAACTCTTTATAATACGGGGCCCTGGAGTATACTAATCAAACCCGACACTTGGTCTAAGATCACGTTCAACTGAGGGAAAAGTTAGACCTCAGATCGACCATCTTGTCTTTTTTGGTTAATCATTTTAAGTGTGATTTTGGACAAAATCTAAAACCCAGCGACGACCGGGGTTGGTCTTTTAAGTATAATACTGGCAATTTGGTTTAAATGAAGGTGGCCACATTTAAAGTAGATGAGGGTAAAGTTCTCTCTCCCCTCTAGTAAAAACAAAATTGTCGTCTACAAAAGTATCAATAAAAACAATTACATTTATATACCTCACTTTAGAAATCCAGCCATCTGGTTGGTCGAAATTGGAGTCGTGATATTAGCCATTCCCGTAAAGAAACGTAAAATGCCAATAACGGTTAATAGTCCAAGAGTGAGATCCCTCATAACTCCGGTTACCATGAAAATAGTAAAATTTTGCTGGGATACCCATTTGTTTACGTGTTGAAATTGTCTTTGTGCGAGCGCAGACACCATACAGTGCTTTTTGTCTGCGATTCCCAAATGATTGAAAATTTCAGTCATTTTTCAAGTTAAGATAACAGACAGCGTCTCAGATTTTCCATGATGTTTTGACCAATCTTTACTCAATAAAAGGATTAGATACGAATTCTTGGTAGATTTTTGATTCAATTCGGCATATAAAAGACATATCGACTGCTTTAATATTCGAGGCCTGGCTGCTGTATATGATTTCGGGAACTAGCAGATCCTGCCATGGCCCCTCGGTGCCGCCCACCAGGCCGGCGCGCCTCGAGGTCATCGCAGGATCTGCGCGCGTTCCCTTGAGCATATAAAACAGCCAGGCCTCTCAAAGCAGTCGATATCTCTATAATATTACACTACACAATGATAAATAAATTGATAAATCAAATAGAAGCTCTATTTATCCACTTCATTTTAATTAGATGCATTCTTATTCGAAAAATAGAAATCTGTTTTCAAATATCTGTCTTTCTCTTTAAAGGCAACGTGAAAGAAGATAAGTACCACTCCATCCCATCCCGCCCCTGCCTTACTTGCCCTTGTTCTCTCACTCTTAACCACATAGAAAATGTTGATGTGACCACCCCCCCCCTTCCCCGTGACACCAATGCCCCCATTAGCGGCTAGACCCGAACCACTGATTGTAATTGTCCTTAATAGGTTGCAAGCGAGTGTCTCACCCCGAATGGACATGTGCTGAAATCGATGATAGTAAAGACCACCTGTATAAAGATAATACAAGAAACACATCATTTCCAAATTAATAAGGACAATTAAATTGATGTACTATACTTTCAGATTAACTTGTTACCTCTTAAAACTGACAAGGTCAAAATACTGACAGGTAGTTTCAGGTCCGACTCTATGGTTTAATGAATTCATCAAAACATATTGTATTTCAGGAAGACTCTATATAAATACACAAAACATAAGTATGATAACAAATATGAAAAATACTACACAAATTTGGAATATCATATATAGATAAATCTAATTGTAAAAAATACCCAATAAAACGGAAATATTAACTCACTGAATATATTTTGTTTAATCTACTTTTAACATGTTAAGATATTGCTGATAATAAAGATAATTAAAGAAACATTAATAATTATCTTAACTCACTTCGAGACTGAAATGAAAGTTCATATTAAACAGCAACACTCAAGCTCAAGCTTTCATTGACCTTTATATTAATTTTCCTACTTTATCCACACTGTAAAAAAGAATTTGTTCATTGGTATTTTACGTATTTTTCCATGTAGAATTTACTTGAAAACATTAGTTTTGCCACTTACGCACTTAATTTAAGTCTTGCTAACTCAAACTTTCAATTTAGTAGAACATACGTGGAATATTTAAGTAAAATCAAATACATAAGAACTTTAAGTAATTTCAGCTTGTATTAATTTAGTAATTATAACTCAAAATCAGAAATTATACGTATTACTCAAACAATTTATGTTGATTATTCTTATCTTTTAAAGTAAGGACCGATGCAGTGCGTAATAGAAATATTTACATAATTTATGAATATTCATTAAGACCAAATTAAACTCTTTTTAAATAAAACAATTCTTTTTTGTGGTTGAATGAAAATTAAGGACTTTAAAACATTTACTAATTCATTTAACATGGCTAAGCAAAGACAAGACAATATTTAATTGTTACCCAGTTCAAAACAAATAAAAACTTGATATTTCAGGAAATTGTCAACCAATTTTCCTTTTAAGATGCTACGATCAAGTATATATACAATTTGGAGCCTCTCAATATGTGTCGAATTGAAGCGTATGTAATAGTTTGTGATGGTGGTAGATATATATATATATATATACGGTTTAATCTTAAATAGAAGTAGTGTGTTAGTGATTAGTGATTAATCTCAAATCGTGCAATATGTAATCCTATCATAGCTTTTTTTTTTAATTATCTAAAATGATTACAATACTTAAATTATTTACGTGAATGTAACTCGATTTAACTGAGTAAAAATTTATTCAGCAAAATAAGTAAATTCTACTTTAGATGCCGTAGGTAATATTTACTTAATAAAAATAAGGCAATTCTTTTCCTCAATTTTATTGAGTTATTTCGACTATTATTTTTTTACAGTGCATATCAATTTCAGCCTCATGGTGGACTCCCCAACCTCCATATAGCGTTTTTCTTTATTTCCATTTTGCTCTCTTTCGTCCTTCTTTATTTCTCTTTAACGGGACAAATTAGACTGTCTAAACTCTAAAGAGAAAGTCCATTACGATAATTAGCTGGTTTTAATCAAATCATAACAGAAAACGAGAAAAACATATCAGTGAAATTTTGAGCAATATCCGATTAAAATTGCAACACTAGGACATATCTTGCGAGGTCCTCTAAAATTTGCTTTTTACAGAAAATGTCTCAAACTTTCATTTTCTAAGTTATTGATGATGGAATAGATTGTCCATAAAATATTTGTCTAGAAACATATTTGCAATATTAGGTGCATGTACATGTATGATTGAAGATTTTCTTGAGGAAAAAAAGAAGACATTTCTGATTGTTTAGTACCGAGCAAATGGGAGGGGGACCTCGCAAGGTACGTCACATAGTTGCCGATTTGTTTTTGATTGATCACAACTTCAGAACTTCAGAACTTTCTCGTTTTTAATCGGAATTTGTTGATATTGTTAATATCAGGGTAGCCCCCCTTTAAAATGAATGTAGACTTACCAGTTAGTGGTATACACAAGTCCCACCACATTCATAGGAACATTGTCAAAGGAGACGCAAAGCGGGAACGGGTAGAAAACGAGACCGACCAGGCAAATCGAAATATATTTCAATATATCAGACACAAAGGCTGTGGATAAGAGAAACGAAAAATGAAAGACAGAAAGTAGCAAAGAGAGAAAATAACATGAAAGAGAGAAAGAAAGAAAATAAGGAAGAAAAAAAAAATCCATTAATATTTAAAGATAAAGTTGAGCTCAGGTCATGCGATTGCATTGTGAAAGAAACGGTGTAGAATCGATCAGAAAAGGTTAATCATCTCGCATATAAGTAGTGGTGTGTACTGCAAGGTTATGGAATCATCAAAATGATAACAAATTTGCCCCGGTCTTGGTCAAGTAGCACTGTACACAGAAATATGTATATGGGACTACACAAACATACGAAATAAAAGTCTGTCCCGATTTGTATGCTGCTACATCATGTACATGCCATATTTAGAATATTAAGACACTTGAAGAGCAATGCTTTTCAAGGAACATTTTATTATCTGCTGTTCTTCCACACTTGCATAATAACAATGATAACGCTCACAAATTATTTTTCACCTCTTCCCAGAACTCAACCTTCTTTTTAAGCGATGATGAAAATCAATATCTAAGTCTATCGAAGAATTAAATTCAGTACTTGGAAACGAAACACTACAACGCTATTTATTTGACCAACTTTTTTTTCTTACAAATATCCACAGTCAGTGACTAAAACATAAATAAATGAAATGAAATGGATTATCATCAGAGATCTATCCGGATTTAAATTATAATGCATGAGCCAGGTCTCCAAAGGTCAAACGACTTTATTTTCTGTTTTGGAAACAAAACAAATTAAAATCTCTACCTTAATTATTAAACACTTCAATGGCTGTATTTAAATATCTTGCACTGCACACAGCTTGCCCATGCCCTAGTCAGTATTATGTCGAATTTGTAATTGAAAGACTCAAATAACCTATGATTCCATGATTTTTATTTAAAATGTATGAAAGATTTAGACCAGTTTTGGTCATGCGATTGCATTGTGAAAGAAACGTTGTGGCATCGATCAGAAAAGGTTGATCAACTAGCAAAATGATAAGAAATTTGGACCAGTCTTGGTAAAGTTACAAGCACTGTACACAGAAAGATGTATATGAGACTACGCGGTATCTATCCAATCCGGATAGATATATGTTAATTTACCAAATATATCAATTAGTAGGCGGTTTCCGGCAAAATTTATATCATCACGCATCACGTATTAGTCAAAACATATTCTTTCATACGATTTGAAAATTTCGGCGCGATTTTCAAATTTCAAACCCCCCCCCCCCCCCCCCTTGAAAAAAATCTTGCGTACGCTACTGCATGTACATGTACGTGTATATGTTATTGTTAGTTTTTTGAAATCATAAACACTTTCCCCTGCAAAATAAAGACCGGAACAACTGTTCCTAGAGCTTGTGGAAAATCCTCCTCCCCCCCTCCCCCGTTACACAATATAGTAACAACTGATGATAAAAATAATAATGATAATAATGATAATAATGAAATTAGCAGTAGTAGTATAATAATAATAATAATAATAATAATAGTGACTATTATTAGAATAATAATAACAAAAATAATAATAATGAAAATAATAATAACAATAATAATGATAATAATATAATAACAATAACAATATTGCATTTTTATTTAAAGCGCACATAATATTATCAACCACGCAATGTGCTCAAGGCACTTCAATATAACCCCGACTCTGCTACATGTAGTTAAGTGGTCACAGCACTCGACAAATACCTTCCTACCGGTAACAAATTGACACCTGGGTGGAGTGGCAAATGTAGATAAATGTCTTGCCAAAGAACATTAATGCCGCGGCAGTACCTTACCTTCGACAACGGGGTCGTTTATTTCATCCGCTTTGGGGGCTCCATTGAGAAAAACTGCAGAACTAAACCACTCATTGCGATGAAGGAGAGCAAATAGGCAAGGCGATGATCATAATTCCTCAGGAAGTTCACAGGGCTGACAAAATATAACCAAGATAATAATAACAACATCAACATAAAAAAAAACATATCAATATGATTTTGCTATCATTATCAATATCATTATTATCATTATTATTGTTACTGTTATTATTATTATTATACTTCACATACTAACAATCTTGCTCTACGATTGGTCAAAATTAAATCCCGTGATGATCATTGATGGGAGAAGAAAACTTCGTTACACTGTGTAGATAGTAAGCAAATAATTAGTGAAGGTGAAGGTGATGGGACAAACTATCACTTTCGAAGCGAAGCTGAGGAAAGATAGCGTATGTACATTTAGATCGCCGAGGAGGTGATAGTTTGCCATCGCCTGAATTACTTGCTTTATATTCCAGATTGTAAAAAAAAGTCATCAATTAACAGCTAGCAAAAGGCGAACGATACGTACAGTGCATGCAGTACTTACGTACGTACAATGTACGTATACGCAACGTATACAATCTTCAGTGAAAGTGCGTTGCACTGTGTAGATGGTTATACTATCTACATAGTGTAACGAACTTTTCTTCTCCCATCAATGATGGGCGAACTATCTTTCATCACGGGATTTACCTTTGACCAATCGTAGAGCAAGATTCGTGGTATGTGGAATATATCGCACCGACGAGACCGACACGAGAATGACACCAGATCGACATAAAAGACGATAAAAATTGCATTATCCCGAACTATGATCAATATACATTTATCCGTCACTTACTCGGAAAGGAATACTTTACCCAATACAACACAATCCAATGACTTCATGGCAATGAAAGATCAATGAAAGTGGCAAAATGTTCATAATTAACTATGTAGAATAGCTTTGCTTTTTGTATTTTCTGTGGGGAGAATGTAAAATGATAAGGATGAATGGATACACGTACACTGTACATCAATTTATATTTGTTAGAGATAGAATATCAATACGAACGTAGGCCCTATAATATGACAGCTAACTTCATGATAATTTGCATAATAAGCTATAAAGACAATTTGAATTGTATGTGTTCTGTGGAAAAAAACTTCAAGAGTTAAAATTTGAAAGCCAAAGTAATCCCACCAAAACGCATAAAATCTGTGAAAAGTAGCATTTTTTTAAAGATGGGTATAGGACCAGTCTTTTAATACAGATGGCTCACATCCAAAAACTATTCCGCTTTTGTAAATTCTTTTCCCAATTCTTTAAAAGTGGACCTGACTATACTGCACTGAGCCATTTAATATTTATTTATTATAATCCAATATTTACAACGTTTAAGAGGCGAGAAGAAAATCCAAATTATAAAAAATAAATCGGTAATAAATTAAATACAGCTTTAAAAAGAAATCCGAATCAAATTTCATGGTAATTGATACAAGCCCATTACTACTTTACCATGAATATTCTATTAATGGCCATAAATTAATATAAATATAGCTTTGCTTTATTTTGACTTACTAGACAAGACGTGGGCGCTGTCTTCGCCTAACATCCCCACACCTCTTCCCATATTGGAAACAAGTCAGAAAGATGATCAGGACAATCTGTAGTAGAAGACAATGTTTGGTGTTGTTTGGTAACAAATATGATGACAGCCATGACGACAATGATAATAATAACAATAACAACAATAACAACCATTACAATAACCAGGCGCGGATCCAGGGGGGGGGGCCGAGCGGGCCTTGGTCCCCCCCCCCCCCCCGCAAAAAAAAAAAAAAAAAAAAAGAGAGAGAAAAAGGAAAAGAAGGGAAAGGGAAAGAGGAGAGAAAGGGAAAGAAAGAAGAAGAAGAAGAAAAAAAGAAAAGGGGGAAGACGGAAATCGGGGGGGGGGGACCGAAAGGGCCTTGCCTCCCAGGCTGTTGACCCCCCCCCCCCCCCCCAATTAAAAAAATAGGAGAGAAGGAAGGAAAGGGAAAGAATAAAGGAAAAGGAAAGAGGAGATACTGGCGTACTAATAGGGGGGGGGGCTTTGGAGAAATCAAATTCAAACGTGGTTTATTTCTAATTCCACAACGGTGGATTACAAATAATGCTGAAATGACATAATTTCCCAGATTTGTCCTCATTTTTTAGTAAATTATACGTTTGTATATGTGTTTGTTGGAAAATGACAAATTCCTAAATTTACAGCCAGGCACGAAATATGATTCTTGAGATTCCTACATGTCAGGGCCCGAGGTACAGCAGGGATCGGGAGCCTCGAGCTCCCTCCCCCCCCCCCCCACTTTATTTGAAAAAGTATATTAAGAGAAAAAAAATAGAATGAGAGCAAGAAAGAAAGAATAGTTAACTGCCAGTGTTAAATAATGAGGCATCAAAATATGCTCATCTGACCGTGATTAAATGCCTAAAACCCCCTAAACTTCCGGGGCTCTGCCCCCTGGATTCCACCTAGGGTGCAACGGCGGGCCCTTACATGTAGATGCTCATCTGACGGTAATTTAATGCCTAAAACCCCTCTTTTTTTGGGGGGGGGGATCCGCCCCCCAAATAGTGACCTGCCGGTGTCACAAAATAATAGGTATTTAAAAAAAAATGATCATCTGACCTTAATTAAACGCCTAAACCCCTGAGCTTCCGGGGCCGGACAAGTTATCAAAATGTGTTTATCTGACCGCAGGCGCGTAGCCAGGGGGGGGGGGGGGGGGGGGGGGGGGGGGCGGTCCCCCAAATCGGAAGAGGACGTAGGAAGTAAAAGGAGCAGACAAAGAACATCTTTGAAATTCAGACAAGGATTAAGAGTATAGAGAACGGTACAACGCATCGTTTTCTTTCTCTAATAATTTATAATGAAACGTCAAAGCTTCGTGCAGGAGGGGAGGGGGGGGCTGAATTCAGACAAGAATTAAGAATCGAGAACGGTACAACGAATCGTCTTCTTTCTCTAATGATTTAATGAAACGTAAAAGCTTCCGCGCTTCGCGCGGGTGGGGGGGGGGGGGGACCTGAATTCAGACGAGGATTAAGAGTCGAGAACGGTACAACGAATCGTCTTCTTTCTGTAATGATTTAATTAAAAGCTTCCGCGCTTAGCGCGGGAGGGGGGGGGGGCGCCTGAATTCAGACGAGGATTAAGAGTCGAGAACTCTACAACGAATCGTATTCTTTCTTTAATAGTTTAATGAAACGTCAAAGCTTCCGCGCTTCGCGCAGGAGGGGGAGGGAGGGTACTGAATTCAGACAAGGATTAAGAGTCGAGAACTCTTCAACGAATCGTCTTCTTTCTCTCATAATCTTATGAAACTTAAAAGCTTCCGCGCTTCGCGCGGATGGGGGAAACCTGAATTCAGACAAGGATTAAGAGTCGAGAACTCTACAACGAATCGTCTTCTTTCTCTCATAATCTTATGAAACTTAAAAGCTTCCGCGCTTCGCGCGGGAGGGGGGGGGGGGGAAACCTGAATTCAGACGAGGATTAAGAGTCGAGAACTCTACAACGAATCTTATTATTTCTTTAATAGTTTAATGAAACGTCAAAGCTTCCGCGCTTCGCGCAGGAGGGGGAGGGGGGGAAACCTGAATTCAGACAAGGATTAAGAGTCGAGAACTCTTCAACGAATCGTCTTCTTTCTCTCATAATCTTATGAAACTTTAAAAGCTTCCGCGCTTCGCGTAGGAAGGGGAGGGGGAGGGGACTGAATTTAGACGAGGATTAAGAGTCAAGAACGGTACGAGTCGTCTTATTTCTCTAATGATTTAATGAAACGTAAAAGCTTCCGCGCTTAGCTCGGGGGGGGGGGGGGGGGGGAAACTAAATTCAGACGAGGATTAAGAGCCGAGAACGGTACAACGAATCGTCTTCTTTCTTTAATAGTTTAATGAACCGACAAAGCTTCCGCGCTTCGCGCAGGAGGGGGAGGGGGGGGGACTGAATTTAGACGAGGATTAAGAGTCGAGAACGGTACAACGAATCGTCTTCTTTCTGTAATGATTTAATGAAAAGCTTCCGCGTTTCGCTCGGGAAGGGGGAACCTGAATTCAGACGAGGATTAAGAGTCGAGAACTCTACAACAAATCGTCTTCTTTCTCTAATAATTAATAAAACGTAAAATTTTCCGCGCTTCGCGCGGGAGGAGAAAAACTAAATTCAGACGAGGATTAAGAGTCGAGAACGGTACAACGAATCGTCTCTTTTCTTTAATAGTTTAATAAACGTCAAGGCTTCCGCGCTTCGCGCAGGAGGGGGAGGGGGGCTGAATTTAAACAAGGATAAAGAGTCGAGAACTCTCCACTGAATCGTCTTCTTTCTCTAATAATTTAATAAAACGTAAAATTCGCGCGGAAGGGGAAAAAACTAAATTCAGACGAAGATTAAGAGTCGAGAACGGTACAACGAATCGTCTTCTTTCTCTAATAATTTAATGAAACGTCAAAGCTCCGCGTTTCGTGGAGAGGGTGGGGAAAACTCGCCCCTCCCTGCACCGACCCCCCCCCCCACCCCGCATTACGTCACTGTTGGTCACCATTACGTACCAATATTTGGCTTGCAAATTTCAAATTTGGCCCCCCCCCCCCCTAAGAAATCCTGGATCCGCGCCTGCCAAAGACTTTCAGTTTCTGTTTCAAATCAGCTTCAAACGCAAGATCTGAGAGAATTTTTTCAGGTTCCTCCGTTGGTAGCATTAAGTCAGGAGGTAACTCGTAGTTGTACTGGACGGACCTGCTGTATTCATCCTTCTGGAACCCTTTCGTTCCGACAAAATTGCTGGTGAGGATGGTGATGTCATGGCCACGTCGTTGCAGCGCCCCTGCAATGGCGCTCAAAGCTTTGGCATGGCTACCGGTCATGGGCATGGTAACGGTTACGAGGATCTTAGCTCCCATAGCCACAGGAACGGCACCGATGATGACAAATAGAGAAAGTGAAACCAAGACGAGCTTCATCATGAGAAAGATGTCGAGTTCCCCTGGTACGATGAAGGAATTTCGCCTCTTAATTTATGTACTGATCGATAATATTTCCTCTGAGAGCGGTCTTCAAAGCTAGGAAAGAGTCGACATTTGATCCACAGAAATAAAATTATCTCCATCAATGTTTTACATGAAGTAAAAACCAATGTGCCCACATCTTTTTTGTACCAAGGTGTCTTTGTTCGAAGAGAGATAGGGCTTCTCTACGTTTGTGACCTAACCTGAAATATAAGAAGCGATTTGATTGGTTATATTTTCATCGTAATGACGTCGTCCAAGGAAGAATATCGCGATTACTACAGTGAAAAGTACTAAGGGTTCTTTTTTCCTTAAAAGAATTTTGGATAGACCCCTCCCCCTCACAGGAATAGAGAAACCTGGATCGCCACCGGCGCGGCGATGTAAAACTTTAACCCCGGCACCCCGGAGACACAGAAATCGCTCCCAGCAGGGGCGGATCCACGTAGCGATTTTCCGGCCCGTCCCCCCCCCAGCCCAAAAAACGATAAAAAATAGGATAATAACGTAAAGTTAACCTTTTTTAAAGCACAAAACAAAAGCGCCCCCCCCCCAAGAAAAAATAAATAATAATAATTGATTCACCGACCGGCTGAGTCGGCGCTAAATTTTTCCTCTAAAACTCGATCTAAAAAGGGAAAGAAGAAAGGTTCTCTGCCCCCCTACTTATTCGGCGGCCGGCTGAGTAGACGCTAAATTTGTATTAATATTTGCCCCCCCCCCCCCTTGTCGCCTGCTGGATCCTCTGCAGGCGCGGATCCACGGGGGGGGGGACTGATGGGTCAACAACAGCCAAAAAGTTTTTTTTTTTTTTTTTTTTTTTTTAAATTATTAAAAAAAAAAAATTCTCAAGGAAGAAGGCCAAAAAAACCCCAAAAAGTGGTCTTACCCACCCCTCCCCCTGCTTATTTACCGGCTGGCTGAGTCGGGGTAAAATATTTCCTGAAAAATGGACAAAAAAGTGCTCCTACCCCCCCCACCCCCCCCCCCACCCCCCCCCCCCCCCCCCCCCCCCCCCCCCCCCCCACCGCTTATTCACCGGTGGTTGAGTCGCAACTAATATTTTCTCACGGATTGGGCCCCCCCCCCTTCCCGCCGGCTGGATCCGCCACTGACAATAACAACAACAATTACAATAATAATAATTACCTAGGGGGCAAAGCAGGTTTTTGAGAAATGGAATGTTGTAAAAGTTCGATGGGTATCAACGTGTTCAGGGGACTCACCTCCCTGCACCATTCCTATGTACCGAATTCACACAAAAATATACAAAGAATCCTTACCTTATCATTTTCTTGAGTAAAGAAGGGTTAAAACATCACATAAAATCTGAGACACTGTCTGTACATCTTCGCTGGATCGGGAATCACACACGTACACTGCACTGTATGGTTTCCGCGCTCGCACAAAGAAACTTTTTACACGTAAACCAGTGGGAATTTCAGCAAAAGGTAACTATGTGGCCCGTTACGGGTAACGGGGATCTTAAAAAAACTATTGACCGTAGGCGGGCATTACTAAAATCAAGACTCCAATTTCGACCAATCAAATGACTAGATGTATTGAACATACAGGGCTAGCTAGCTAACGAATTTCAGTGAGAATATGATTTAGTAATGGGACTAAAAACAGCGTGTGTGGAAAGGTAGTACGAGGCAAGGGCGGCGATCCCGGGGGGGGGGGGGGGGGAAGGGGGGACACCCCCCCTCAATTTTTTAGGGGAGATTGTCCCCCCTCCTCAAATTTGAAAAAGTGCCCCCCAAAAATGTAAAGCAAGTACTGACTAAAGACTGCAACACACTTTTAGGCTTTGGAGGGCCCAAGAGTGCAGCGTTTAGACAAATAAAAATGCAAAAAATCTTCTCACTCGGTAGCTACGCCCCCCTCGCATAATATCCTTCAAAATGTACAAGTAAATACCGAGAAAATTAATGTGTGCAAAAGTATGTTGCTTCTATATAAACTTTAGTTTTGCTAAGGAATGGAATTTGTAAATACAACAAAATTCAAAAACCTGTGGGGGATAGTCACTTCCGTCACCTTCACCCCTCTCATTCACTAAGCTCCCTCGCACTTGCGTACTGATGGAAGGGGGGGGAGGGGCTTGTGGGGGCAGTTCCCCCAAAATTAAATTCAAACGAGGTTTATTTCTAATTCGAGACCAGTGATTTACAAAATGTTGTTGAAACGGCATAATTTTTTTCTTCCTGAGCTTCCGGGGCTCTGCCCCTTGGACCACACCAAGGTCCCTAAGGCAGCCCTGGTTGCTCATCTGGTTGTTATTTAATGCCTAAAAGCCCTGAGCTTCTGGGGCTCAGGCCCCTTGACCCACTCGACCTGCATGCCAGTGTCATAAATAAGGTATCAAAATATGCTCATCTGAATGTAATTAAATGCCTAAAACCTCTGAGCTTCATGAGGCTCCGCCCCTTGACACCCGCCGGGGCTTTTTCCCTGGACCCCACGCCAATTTACATGAAATACATACAAAATTTCTGTGCTCGTGTTTTCATTCATACCTTGTAAGAATAAACAAAGTCTGCAAATTAGTTCTATAAATGCTCACTTATCTGCTTAATATATCACCTTCGAATATTTACTTTAGTGCCTGATATTGAGAGCGAGACTTAGTTAGAAATAAACCTTCCATCACCTGCGCCTGCATGATGTTTCCTTTAAATGTACCTGTCATAATAAATGACTTATGTAACCAAACTCTGTAACTAAGTACTTTATCCTCGTAAAGATACTCTTTAGATTTAACGAATCAGTAATTACTGCTATTTAATTTAGGTGTCATCAATTATTGTCACTAAACTAAAGTACCGATTTTGAGTGAAATCAGTTGAGTTTTGTACAGTGGTGTTTGAAATAATAGAATAGGTTCAATACACACGACACAGCCAGGGTAGTAATGCAGCTGTGTGTGAATTAGGATAGACTGCAGTACGAAACTAGTCTACATCAGTCCCGGGATTTGATCAAAGTTTCTATGTTCAAGATATTTTATAGTCTAATCCCCTTTTTTCAATTTCTCAGGAGTCCAAAGAGATGAGAGAAAAAAAGAAAAAAGAAAAAAAACACCCCTTTTAACTTTTTAAAGAAATCTCCGGGTGAAAAGTCAAATAGGCCTAGATCTAGATCTAGATAGACCTAGGCCTAGACCCTACACTCCCTGTTTTTAGAATTCTCGGGCCGGACTTTGTCGCACGAAAAGTACCCCTTTACCTAGACCGAAAGCTTCAGTCTCTATACCGTCGGTTGTTCCACTGAGACTACGTCTGGCTCCACTAGACCTCCGGTTATAGAGACAGAACGATCGCCTATGCCAGCCTATGTTGAAGATATCACGGCTAGATTTTAGCAGTTAGGCCCCTCCCACAAACATGAACAAACTTGCCACGGCCGTATTGTTATGCCCCCAAAATCCCCCAAAATGTCTTTTACCTCGTGCATATCAAATTTTACATTAGGCCTAGGCTATAATACATCGGTTCCACTTACTGTGCGCCATCTACATGTTCGTAATGGCGTTATCACAGTTTTTCCTTCATAATCATTTTTGCCTTCGGCGTAGACTAGAAGGGATGAGATTGACGGCAGCGAGAGTTTAACACGGCTTGCAAGATTTTCAACATGGATGTCGATTTTTGACCCATAATTTCCTTAAAAGGGACCATTAAACGGATTATTTCAATCAAGTTAGTAAGTGGAACCGATGTATTATAGCCTAGGCCTAATGTAAAATTGGATATGCACGAGGTAAAATGACATTTTACGCGATGCGTTGCGCGGGGCCTCGATCACGAGTATAGTGAGTTGGCTGAAGTTAGAAGTCTAGTATAAAATTATAATCGATTCAAAACAGTTGCGGGGCCTATATCACGAGTATGCCCATGCGTGCATGTTACCAAAATGTTCGGTAAAGGGTAGACCGAAAGCTTCAGTCTCTGTACCGTCGGTTGTTCCACTGAGACTACGTCTGGCTCCACTAGACCTCCGGTTATAGAGACTGAACGATCGCCTATAGCTATGCCAGCCTATGTTGAAGATATCACGGCTAGATTTTAAGCCGTTAGGCCCCTCCCACAAACATGAACAAACTTGCCACGGCCGTATTGTTATGCCCCCAAAATCCCCCAAAATGTCATTTTACCGGCATACTCGTGATATAGGCCCCGCAACTGTTTTGAATCGATTATAATTTTATACTAGACTTCTAACTTCAGCCAACTCACTATACTCGTGATCGAGGCCCCGCGCAACGGCATCGCGCGCACTTCAACACAGCAGCGGGGCCTGTATCACGACTATACTTATATACTCGTTATCGAGGCCCCGCGCTACGGCATCGCGCGCACTTCAACACAGCCGCGGGGCCTGTATCACAAGTATATTATACGAGTCTCCTATTCAACTCGCTATATATACTCGTGATATAGGCCCCGCGCAACGGCGTTACGTGTTCTACAACACGGACATGGGGCCTGTATCACGACTATACTGTATACTCGTGAACAAGGCCCCATCCTATGCATTTTCATAACGGACAGCACGGTAGTGGGGCTTCTTTCACCGAAGTATAATTTAGGGGGTGTTTTGAGGTTAATGAATAAAGCTAGCAAATTATTAAAAAGAGTTACATTTAATAATTAAATTTATCTTTTAGACCCTATTTTAATATTTTAACTTTTTAATATTTTTCCTTATTTAATTGTTTACCTTTTTTAATATTTTTCTTTTTTTAATATTTTTCCTTTTTAAAAATATTTTTCTTTTTTAATATTTTGGCCCTCTCTCTTTAAATTTATCTTTTAGTTCACTTCTTTTTTTTTTTTTTGGGGGGGGGGGGCCCCCTACCCCCCCCCCCCCTCTCTTTAAATTTATCTTTTAGTCATTTTTTAATTTTTTTTTTGGGGGGGGGCCGCCTCCCCCCCCCCCCCGTTGCTACGTGCCCCCCCCCCCTCCTAATTTTTATTTTAAAATAAATCCCTTTCAACCCCTTTTTAACGCGCCTTTTATTGCTGTCCGTCATGAAAATGTTGGCTGAAGACTGAAGTTAGAAGTCTAAGATGATTTGTAATCGATTACAAGACGGGTAAGTTGCGGGGCCTATTTCACGATATCGCCCACGCATGGTACCCCTCCGTTCTCGGAGTGGGGGGGGGGGCGGGGCTGTGCTTTGCTCTACCTGATCTGTCTTTAGCCCCCCCCCCCCCCACCCCCCAAAACGTTCCCAGGGCCTGCGTAACATGTAAGAGTGGTGGTGATGCAAATATTGTTCTGCCCTCCCCCCCCCCCAAAAAAAAAAAAAAAACGTTTTGCTCATTATTACGCCACTGCTCCCTCGTCCCTCGCATTTCGTCCGTCCCCCCCCCCCCCCCCCCCCCCCCCGATCATGAAAAGAAATCGCCGCCCCTGGTACGGGGCTATCATCAGGCAAAATACGGGGCTAAGCAAAACAAATTTGAAAAGAGTCTAAATTGATGTGGCTACCCTCGGTAAATCAAAACCCAAATTAGTCTAGGCCTACTATTGGTTTGCTTGTAATCCTCGACCCACGGATAATCGAGACACAACGTGGACGTGTCGTGTAGTGATTCATTTAGGCTAGGCCTAGATCTAGAGTCTAGTTTAGGCCTAGACTAGGCCTAGTCTATTATTAACCTAACAGTAACAGTAACACAACAACAGATGATTCTCAACTGAATAGGTCTAGATCTAGGCCTGCCGCCTAGATCTAGACATCTAGTTGATATTGATAAATTAAATATCTGGAATGCCCTATTTATCCACTCAATTTGAATTAGGTCTAGCCTAGATGCATTCTTATTAGAAGAATAGCGCTCTTTTGTTAATTTATCTGTCTTTCTCTTACTCTCTCTCTCTCTCACTCTCTCTTTTAGTTTACCCTTCCTCCCTCTCCTTTATATAATTAGGCATAGAGTCTAGATAAATATTAGACTACTTACCGAGGCTACTGCATTGCCTATCATCCATAATGAAGTACCGGTACATGTACGATAAAATGTAGAAATAGAAGCACAACGCTCTTGCTCTGTAGTAGCCAATGTAGTAGGCCTATTAGTAATATAAATAGGTCCATACTCTGCCTCAGAATAATTGTAAGAATACTCCGACATCTTAGGTATGATATTCCTTTAACTGTAGGTCTACAGCAGTTTCACAAGCATGCGAATGTAAAAATACCAATTCACATGTGTTATGGTACATGCGTTATCAAAGCGCGTTCAATGGTGTTGTGTATTAGAAGCGCGCATTGCATTGAGCTTGGCAAACGGTGGAACTTTAACCATGCTGCTGGGGGATACTATGCCACGTGCGCCGGTGCCTGCTCTGCTCCAGTTGAAACCGGTACTAAAGAAACTGCACGCATATTCAAATCAAAAATATACACAATGACGTAGGAATTGGGAGGGGGCATCCCCCCCCCCCCAAAAAAAAAAAAAAAATATATATATATAGATATATATATATATATGGCTGAAAACCCCTTGTTCTGTGTATTTTTTAAATTCTTGATATCACATCAATTATTAGCACTATATGCCTAAGCAGCCTGACATTATTTGACACTAGATATTCTTTTTTTCTCTCTCTCTCTCTCTCTCTCCCCCTCTATCTTTCTTCTTTTCCCTCTTATTTTCCGTGCCGCGACTTCGATCCAATCAGCGTAAGCCTTTCCTCCAGTGCATGACCAGTGCATACAGTACAAAGCAGCCCCTGCGTTCGGCGTCTTTTTTGTTTTAACTTAACCTAGCCATCCTACCGCTGCATTTGATTGGCTGACAATCACACTGACAATTTATTCTCATGTCACCCACGTTGGGTTATTGGTATTGGAGAAGTTTACAATCAGTTTGAATTTGTCAATTTTACACTGTAAAATGTACAATTCAAATCGAATTTATGTTAATCAATAAGAAAAAAGCCAGTGCCCTCTTCTGATAAGTTTTCCATTTTCATCTTTGATGAGTGCTCCTTCTCACCTTTCATAGTTTGATATGTTAGGCATCCCCTGATGCATTTCCTGGAGTCGGAAGAAAAGACTTAGGCCTACGGGTTATAGGAATTTCACATTCCTTTTTTTTTCTTCCAGGCAACTTCGAGAGGTGCAGCAGCCTGCAGGGGAAGCCAACTTTATTCTGTCATACTTTGTATCCTATGTGCCATTCTATTGTACCTTCTATTGTATGTTTGAAATGCCAAATAAATAACGATAATAATAATAATAATAATAGTGCCCTCTTTTATTTTATCACGTATCCCCTTGTCTTTCTAATAAGTGCACTTCACTGATAAATGCCTCTATGAAAATCTCATACGTGCCCCTTTCCATTTTCACAAGTGCCCCTATTCATCTCTGATAAGTGCCCTTTTCATTATTACACGTGCCCCTATCCGTTTAACAAGTGCCATTTTCCTGCTGATAATTGCCCCTTGTCCTTTGTAATAAGTGCCTCTGTTTCGTTCTCATACGTGCCTTTTGTTATATATCTGGTGAGTGCCTCTTATCAGGAGCGAGAATTGCCCCATTTTCACCTCTGATAATTCCCCTTTTTATTTTGGCACGTACTCCTTTCTTTTCTAAAAAGTGTCCTTTTCCCTTTGGATATGTGCCCCCTTCTTTTTACCATACAAATAATGTACTCCTAATTTAAAGCGACTAAAAGCAACTTGTTCTTCCATTTCACCCAAAGAACGCTCGCTCGCGTTCTAAGATATTATTTATTTACTTTTTTAATAAAGATCTTTTTAGTCTTTCATGATTAGGATTGTTTTTTCCTCTTTATAAGATGTTACTTTTTCACTCTGCGGCTTCACAAATATTTTGTTTTGTTGCTTGCTCACGAATAAATCTTCATCACACCCAACTTGCATTATCCTGGACCATTTAAAAAGAGAAAAACAATGAAATCACCCCTGATAATATAATCATAATGAAGGGGTATAATGTGGCTTACCAACGTCTAAACATTGTATAATTATGTTCGCTTTGATAAACCCTTTGGAGGTGCCCCTTTATTCCAAATTTTTTTTTAGTGCCCCCCCCCCCCACTTTGAAAGACGCTCCTCCGCTCCTGGTCCTCGGGTAGAGGTGATTGTTAAATCTCGGAGAACAAAAGTTATTCTTCATGGCTATATTCCTATAAAAATTGTGTCCACATTTTCTATTTGGTGTTTTTAATTCATGATGAATTGCTTGTAAATTTGCTCTAAAAAAGGGTAATAAAATGCACTAAAATAACTTAAATAAGGCTGATATTGCACCAGAGAGCATCTAGAATCCCAAAGCTTCGAAGGGCCCTCAAGAGACTTCGCACTTTGCGCTCGTGATGAGGGCTTCGAGCACATTCAGATGATCAGGGTGAGTGCTTCAACCCCCCCCCCCCCACACCCCCTTCAAAAAGCTCCCTACGCCTATATATTAGACAATATGCGTGTAATATTCTTGCAGCTTACAGCAAACTGATTAGTCAATTCAATTCAATTCAAGTTTATTTCCACAGTAATTCTGGTCAAAAAAAATGTACAAACATCATGTGGATATAATTAATATAACAAAAATTCAATCGAAAACATGATTCAAATAAAATTAATATCCGAAACATCCACTAGCTTCACCATAATACTCGATAATTATGATGAAGTACTTCATCTAAACGAACGAAACGTCATTTTGCTCATCGTTTAAATTAATTTTACATCTGTTTTTGATTCATTGGTCTTGATTTCCGAGAGACTGTGAAAGGTAGAAGAATGTTTTTCTTTCTTTTTTTACTTTCTCTATCCTTCTCTCTCTCTCTCTGCATACGCTTGCTGCGTACAAGAGACAAGATGGTAATGTCACCAGAAATAAACCGAGTGATGATAGTGGTTTTTCACTTCAAAGAGATCTATTCATCAATAAGTACTAGCTTACAAGCTGATGAGAAAGTTATTGTTCAACCGATTGTTACAGCAAGTGAGTATCTCAGTGATTTCAATGATGTAAGCCGATTCGAGTGCTGATGACGTAAGCCGATGTATATGGGATAAAGGGAAAATAAAATCAGATATAAATGGTGAGGAAATAGACCTATATACAGATATCCTATTATAAAGAGATAATTATATATAGACTGAGTGTGTGAGAGAGAGAGAGAGAGAGAGAGAGAGAGAGAGAGAGAGAGAGAGAGGGAGAGGAGGGAGGGGGGAGAAAGGAGAAAGAAGGATGACAATAAGAACACGACATATTCTAGACAAAGTGGAGATATTCGAAACAAAATATTGCTATTTAGGGGGTGGTAATGGGAAATAGAAATAGAGAAGATAGCCAGAGGGATGGGAGAAGGGGAAAGAATAGAACTTTAAACTGACGAGTAAAAATCACCTGTTGAGTGTACTACTACTACTAAAATGAATTATAATGATGGTGATAATGATATTGTCATAACAACAGTTTCAGAGGCTGGAATAAACTGTTAGAAGTAAAATAAAACCAGCACTAATAAGATTATATTTATAAACAAAAATGAAACTCTAAAAGGATACCGACTCCAGACAATATACACCCAAAATAATTCCAAAAACATGTACATAAAGAACCGATTCAACTGGTGAATGACAGAGCAAATACTATATGCAAATATACTCTCTCTATTCCTGTGCTTCAAATGAGAAATGAAGAGAAGAGATATTTGTCGTCGTGTTTGCCTTTTCTCTGTATACCCTAGGGTATAAAAATGTGGTAGTATCTAGGGAATCGGTCTAGCAAATAAGACATGTTTGCTAAGAACCTACACGAACCGTCTCCGGTCTTTGATGATGACGATGTTACAAGATGGTCTTGACACCATCTTGAAGATGTTTCACGGCGTCTTGGGAGAAAAGACAGTGACTTTTATGATTTCAGTTTGCAAGGTATTCTTGAAAGAGACAGCTTTGTCGGAGGGTGGAAAGTGCGCCATGACCGTAGGCCTTTGGTCAATGGTGAATCCATTATCGCCGGGGATCTTCAGCGAATAGATTAGGAATAATTACCGTATAACTGTGATAGAAGAACTAAATGAAAACCAAGGAAAATATGTTGAAAGAGATGTGAACAGTTAACTGTGTAATTGTGATTTTCTTATCATCATTTTCCATTAAATTGAATTTAAAAATCCTATAAAATTGAATTTTATCTTCAATGTCTACTTTTGTAGAAAACGTGAATTTATCAAAGGGAATTATTTCAGTTTGCTTCTAATGTGGCTCTTGACATTAATGCACCACCATGATCAAAATCAACAAGAATAGTGGCAAGACCATCCACGAACTATTGACAATCTCACTTTAAATTGCACGTTGTGAAGGATTAATTCGATATTATATTAGCTTTTTTAAAGAATAGGTCTCTTTTCCTTCCATCTGAAGTAAACCTCTCTGCCCCTTCTCCTCAAATGTATCCTCTTCTCACTCTTTCCTTCTTCTTAATCTTTCATTCTCTCTCTCTCTCTCTCTCTCTCTCTCTCTCACTAATGTTGATTTTCACCCCTTTGTTAATAAAACTCAGACAAGTGACAGTTACATCGTAATCATCGTAATGATGATAATCGCTATGTATAACGATCACATGAATCAATTAATTAGAAGGAATAGAAGGAAACCTTTAATAGCAAAGACTCAAAGAGCTACCTTGAATTATCACGGTTGAGTGACGGCGCCAGAGTACCGTCCCTATTCAGTCGGACGGAAAGTGCAAACAAATAGCGAACAAGCTCACCTAGGTTACCGTGTACGCTGCTTAATAAATTCGCCTTCTTGTCGCGCTCACAATAGATAATGTTCTTTTTCAATCACAATCTTGACTTGGGTTAATCAATGGCAACCGGGGAATTTCTCTTGCCCTTTCAACGTACGTTGGATTGATTTATAACGTGAAATCAATGTTAGGATTCGATTTGAAGAGGCGGAAAGAATCAGTGCAACTGTGGTCTGTGGGAGTGTTTTCTTCTGAACGTGGATCTTTTAAGGGACGGAAAACTAAAGTGATTTTGACAGTGTGAATTCTAGAGAAAGCAGGCCTGAGTCACTTCATGTTCATCGCCCAATGTTGCCGAGCGTCTTCAATGTGAATTGATGTGTCACATTAGACTCAACATCAATGAAAACGTACAGACAAAGTAATTATAATGGGGGAAATGTTACCGTAATACGAATATGACGATAACAGACTAACCATTTTCCAAGAGAGATGTCAACTTATCCACAGGAATGATCTAAGCATTCATATCTTGGACTTTAATATAAGAACCACTCGGTAAGTAACATTGTCTGTAACGACGTCTTTATTGTATTCCAATTTCAGTAAATGCGAGATAATATTTAGTAGTTATCAAATTAATTATTTTCTCCAATTGCTTATTATATCCAGTTTTAATGATGTCTGAATCGTGTATTTACTTCCAGTTGTACTGTACCCCTTTTTAGCATTAGGATTGCGATAAGGGTAATTCTTGCTTTAAAACAGACAAACACACATTTGAATCCATGCATATCAAACGCTACCGTCACGATGGACTTCCTACTACTAAAAAGTAAGCCTAATTTATAATTGCATAATACTTTCAAAATATTATACGGAAAATGCCTTTGGTAATGGGATGCTGTGGAAAAAGAAGTCATATACAACAAAAATATACGAGACAAAAAAAAAAACAAGAGAGAGAGAGAGAGAGAGAGAGAGAAAACAAAACATCTATTATAGTCGAAACCTAAATTCTGACAACCCAGTACAGGATTGACCGACTTCTTTTCGCTCCAATTTTAGGATTATTATACAAAAACCGGATGTTATGAATAAAAAATGTGTTTGCCAAAATGTCAGAATTAAGAATTCTAAGGTCTAAGGGGCAGAGGAAAGGCACTTACTTTCATAAAATGTGCTTAAAAATGTATGTCGGATAATGTCATATTCATTAGTGCTCCGACAATAGTTGCTCCATTCTGTCTTTCGTCAAAATATGGGTTAGGGATAGGATTGCAATTAGGTCTCATTTTAGGTTTAAGGTTAGGTTTAAAGTTCCATCCAGCATGCCTAGGGTTAAAGGTTAACCCATTGCCTACGAAGACCAGGTGGCTCCTGTATTAAGTTTGTAGGGATGAGAAGATCCAGTAGTCAATGGCTTAAGAATTCGCTTAGTGTTGGATAATGACCGCAGAGAAATTGTCGCTGGAGCAATTGCGTTTTACAGGCGCGTACGCAGGGGGGGGGGGGGGGGGGGAGGGGGGGGGGGGAGGGGGGAGGGGGGGGGGAGATTTTTGAGGAAAACCACCCCCTTTCGTAATTTTTTTGATTTAAAAAAAAAATTGTGGTAAAAGATGACCCATACATCAGAACTTACCCATCCCCCCCCCCCCCAACGAAACGAAATCTCGATAGGCCAAATTTTCAAATTTTGAGACCCCCCAAAATAAATTTATGTCCTCTTACCCCCCCCCCCCTCCTACCCCGCTTTTTCAGCGGTCGGCTGAGTCGTTGCGAAATTTTCAAATTTTAACCCCCCCCCCTCGAAAAAAATCCTGTGTATGCGCCTGGCGTTGTACATAATATTTTCATGTAATTAGAAGATAGTTAGCACACCACATACACTACATACAATAGGGAAAACACGATGACATCGTCTTTTAGAATAGTTTTGTTTGTCACATGATTCCAGTAAAGATTTTAAATCATGTTAATGTGTAATTTAAAAGCGGGAACAATTAATTTTATGGATTATTGCATATCATCATATGGACCCCTGCAAGTTTTCGAAGAATATAACATCAATAAAACTCCAATCTATGGTAGACTGTACAATTACTTAATATAATCGCGGATTCATTTTTTCCACGTACCCATGTTAGTGCCTTCTTAACTAACCTCTATCTTAAATTTCCCAACAGGTCTAAAACTGATGTTCATTATTAATATTCAAGCTACCCGCTCTAAAGAGAATACCCTTGTCCCGTTTAATACTTTATTTTCACGAAGACCTCCGCAAATCAATAACAATTAAAATCTCTATCGTTGTTAGGGAAACAGCTTGTAAGAACACCTGTCTACATCGTTTTTCTTTTCACTTGTCTTTCAGATACTAGCGATCGATGGATCTTGACCCAGGAAAACGATGAAGTCAGCGACACTGCGACTCCCTTGAACACCAGGCCCTGATCATGCGTAGCAGACGACAAGTGAGTTCACTATGATCGACTCCGATGAGCAAACACCCGCCCTTGCGCATCACATGACGTGGATTCACAACTTCCCCAAATGTGACAGCTGCGTCACCATGAACGCAGCCGGGAGGGGGCGTCACCCACTTGGTCATCGCTATCCAGTTGCCATGGTATCGGATGAGTCGTCACGTGGATTAAACCAAGGTGCGAATTTTCTCCCAGGTATAGTGCAAGGGAGATCGTTGGAGAGGAAACAGAGGCTTGAGGTTGGTTGCAAACAGTGTCGCAGCGATGTTAACAAGACATCGAGGGATCACAACATGCAATTACCACATCCGAATACGTCAAACCACCTACCCCACATATCAACTGGTAACCGATCAAATGGCAACTTAAGTCCCACAACACAATTCAAAATGGGTATCACTAGAGCTCAGCAACGGCTTGCCAAGTCGTTAGATTTAGACGAACACAGCAAGATGAATGTTAAAAGACGTGTAAGTTTGCCATCACTTACGTCTGATAACTTACAATTAACTTCCGGTAGCTCTGGAACGTCGGCTTCAGACAGCGGTGTGTATGACGTCACACAAGAGGAAGATGACGTAACACTCCTGAGCCGGGTATCGCTCGAGGAAACTGACTCCGACGACGAACAAAATAACTCTAATCTAACAATTGATCCATTTCCGTATCAATCAGAACGATCGCCATACGAAAGCGATGTCGATTGGCCGCACCCGAAGCCACCAACACCAATCAAGCCAAAGAAGAAAAAGAAAAAGAAACCGGCACCTCCACCTCCGCCGAAGCCTCGTCCGAAGAAAGCAAAGAAAGCGTATGTTAAGCGGAAGCCTCCGATCAACTTCGCCGCTCTCCGCCGGCATGAGCAAGAAGTCGCAAGACGTCTCCCGATCAAGAAGCAGTTCCTCTATTCGAACGCCCTAGAATCTGAACTACAGAGTTATATCCCACCCCGAATACCCGGTGGCAGACTCAAAACTGTCTACAAACGAACGCAAACAGGAGATATCATGATCCCTGAAGATCCAATCACGGTTGAATATACTGAGCTTAAAAACGAAACGGAGGAGGACAATGTGTCACCGTGGCAGAGGCGGAGAACAGAGGCGCTACAGGCCTTCCTAGAAAGGAGGAGAAAGTTACAGAAGCGCGTTTCGTCACGCGATAAGAGAAATCGCGTTCGGTTCATTTTGCCGCCTGGTCATATCGATAGTGCGAGCGAGAAAGACGATGATGAAGAAAAGTCTGACGATATTGATCATGGGAGTCGAGCCGGCATTGACGAACTGGACAATGACGATTCACCTCAAGGAAACGACGGGGAAGGCGCTCAACCATCTCGCGTAAGCCTTGTCGTTGAGGAAGCCCTACGCACACTCGAGAGCACACCATCTCAAAAAGATTCCGATGAATTGGTTCAAAACTGGTTGCAGACGACAAAAGACGATAGTATCAATGATCGCAGGGTAGTCGAAAGAACAAGCATCACCGATCAATTTGTTAAACTACCGTAGATATCCGAAACTATATCGGCATCTCCGATGATTTCCGACAATCCTTCTCGACAATTACTTGACGCAAGCAATATGACTGTGACCGTAACTGAAGTTATAGATAAAACTGGAGTATCATAAATATTATGCATGTATAGATTACCGCGGCCTTCAACATTGTGTTGTTATGTAGTATTGATAACGCAGGGTGCAAACAATTATTAATGTGAGTTTGTCGCTATTAGATGAGATTACTGTTTTCTACCCCTTTAAAATGCTCCTGTATAGTATCTATAATATTATTTAACAAGCTTTTATATGTTTCATAAGCGTATGGTGGGGGGGGGGTGCAGCCCTTCTACGCTGATTATCGGTTTGTTGTTGTTGAGATTAATGGCGTTTCCATCGATGGCATTGGCAAGGTGGTCTATTTGTATCTTTACACCTGTTATAATCTTTCAGACAAATTACAGTTAGTGAACTGAGTGCCCTCCCCCCGGTTTTTTTTGGGGGGCGGGGGAGGGATGCCTCCTTATTATGTACACAAAGACAATCGAAATCGAAGTGCATTTTACGATAATAGAATTTATAATCATTGACCAACATTATTTTTAAATACTAGTAATAATAATCACCAGAAATTCATTAAACTGGCATATTTAGCGCCATCTGTCGTCATATACATGTACATGTACCTTCATATTCTGCAGATAGATACATGATTAAAATTGTATTATGTCTCATAAGCATCTTGTAAAAGAATTAGTGTCTATAAAATTGAATATGTGAGTTAGCTGAGATATTAAGATCAAAGTATTATTTTATGTGCAAATAATATGATTGAAAAACAATACTGATCACATTGTTTTGAACGAGATAATCATCGAAATATAAATGCTTTGCAACATGCATTGTGAAAACTTCAATTTTATGCATCTCTAAAGATTTTATTCGTTAGTCTAAGTTACATCCTAGTGTGTTCATTACAAAACGAGGAATTCGGCAGTGATTGGGATGGTTGTTTGATGAAACGTACAAACACGTGGAATTATTGAGCAAAATATTACGGCACTGTTTGACATATAAAGATCACCCCCTCCCCCTCTCCCGGCCGCCCATTTTCTCGCTTTTCGTCATTTTCACGATATACCAGTGAAACACTGCCATGAGTCGTCCCTCATTGGTGCAGAGGCTGGTTCGTTGTTTTCGCTTGGCATGATAGATAGAAATTATGATAACATAAAGCATTAAGAATACTATGTCCCTTTTGCAGCCAACATCAATTTCTGTAGAACTTTGCAGGAATTATGAATATGTCATGTTTGTCCTATCCGTGAAATTTAAACGTTAGCAGTGTCCTAATTTTCAAATTATGCAAGGAAACCCGTTTACTTTCTAGACTTCACTGTCAGACACTATTGAGTGACTGACTGACTTTTTTCCCTTCTCTTTGGTGATAACATACATAAAGTGAGCTGTAAAGGGTTCGTGAACATTTTGTCTACATCAATAACCCAATTCTTGTAATGGCCAAAATTAAACTGATTGAATCTTTGCGCAACACAAAACGTACATGTACGACCATTCGGTACAAGGGTCTGAAAAATCATATTAATACTATAGTCGATTCGACAACTAATGGTCGTTATTTTTCCCACTTTTAGACATTAGACATGTTCAAGCCCTTCCGTTTTTAAGGGAAGTTCTAAAGTATTATCTTTCAAATGCCGTTGGAATATAACCTTTTCATTTTTGGTGCCTGCAAATGGGACATTATAGTACCTGTAAATGGAGGGGACGATTTTCCCACATGCGGACCCCATAATGTTTTGCCAATAAACTGTACACGTGCAAAAGTGCTACCATTCATTCTCACAAACATGGCACTCTCTTAGGCCTTCACTAATCTCATCATTACAAGGATCCTGCTGTGGCATATACAATTTCAGCACTGAATTATAAAGCCGATTTATTACAAGAACAAGGTGTGGGTTGAGATTTTATATTGCTAAGCAAATTTGTATTCCTTTCAATTTTGTCAGAAAATCTGACAGTTAACAATAGACTAGGATGCGTTTATTTTTTTAAATAATTTATCTACTTAAAAAGGTTTCTGGATATAAAAAAAAACATTCGCGGCCAGAGGGTAGATTTGCAGATTCTTTTACAATCATTATGTATTTACTTGATACATTGTACGAAGATAAACGTATATGAAAATATGAATATCACATTAGCAGTACTAATACCTTTTTAAATATTCCAGCAATTACAAGGTTTGTAAATAAGACAAGATTAACAACACGTGTATTCAGAAATGAATTGAATTCAAACCCCCGAGATAAGAGAAGAAAAGCATTGAGAGGAGATCTGGGTAGGGGAGAGAGAGAGAGAGTGAAAGAAAGAGAGAGAGAGAGAGAGAGAGATTGATAAATTGATAAACTAAGCATACAACAACAAAAGCACACAAACAAAAACAAAGACAAGGACAATGATAAGCACAAACCCCAGAGCTAATTACAAGTTTAATCTAAGATTTACCGCAAATTTCACCCGACACCAGCCTTATATCAATGTACCACCTTCATTCGATACCCCTGCAATAACCACACGGAACATAATAGTTTACAAAACATGAGTTTGAGCGTCAGTTAAAGTCTAAAGATCTCTCGATTTCGAGGTCAAGATTTATGTGAGAAAACAGGCGACAGTTTTGCTTTATATATTTTATAAAACAGTCGACGTCATTGCGATGATCGTTGACCTTCGCCGTTGTCGGATAATATTCCCACACGTACTTTGGCACCTGCTCTCTGAAGGTGACCAGCAACACGAATATTATTCCAGATTATACACTTCGCCTATCAATATTTTTTTTATTTCATCATTATTTCGTGCTGGACTTTTCATTTCTTAATGGGAGAGAATAACTAATATGAATATTGGGTTATTGAAACATACCATGAAAAGTGTAAACACACTTTACTGAAACAAGTATTATTGTCAATTTCTGTACTGCTAGATTCAACAGTCAGTAGGTCCATGGTCAAATATAATAATGTTTGTTGCGTGCTTACATGTGGTTATGTCTCATGTGATGATTTACCTTTTTCCTTTTTTAACAGAAACATTGTGTGTGATTTTCCATTGTCTATTTCCGCTCTGCGAATAAAAAGGGTTGAAAGCACAATTCATTTATTTCTTTATAATTTTGATATTCTGATCTAAACGCTTGTCTAAATGTTTGTTATTGAACAGATTAACCAACTCTTTTCCAGGGGGAAGATGTAATTCAAAAAACAAATTAATTTTAAAAAGCCCAAATTATCATTATTGTTATTATCATTACAAAAAATAAAAAAATTGGTTTATTTAGTAAGAGGAGGAGGGAGATGGGGGGGGGGGGGTCAGAGGTTTTATGAACTCCTATTATAAAACCATGATTGTATTTGATGATTGAGAAGTTACAAGACCATTTGAGTGGGTCAGGGACGATCATGACTTCGGTAGAATCATACCGATACAACAACCCCCCCCCCCCCCTCTCCCTTGAAAAAAAAATATCTTAAATTATTGCAATGGCGTATCCGAAATCGCTTTACAGTGAGACGAAATACCGCCCCCTCTAATCTGAGGAGGAGAAGTGCACATTTATCTGGGTTGTGTCACTACAGACCAAATGCAAGTTGTATCGACTTTATGCCCAAAACCCTCAATTGTTGGCGGGCCGGGGGGGGGGGGGGGGGTTACAAGAACTTTACTAGCTAATTCAGTGCTGGATACGACACTGGTTATTAGGAGGGGGCACGGTTAAGTGACCCAATATTTACTGACCCGTCATTGGAAAATGTGAAGTGTTTATGAACAGGACTGGTCTGATTTCTAACAAACGGTACTTGTCCTTCGTTACGCCATAGGTCAATGATATTGTATTCATGTTTGAAGTCTGGCCAAAAGAAAATGATCATCTCAATGGGGTCAGATTACGTAAATAGTGTGTGTGTGTGGGGGGGGGGGATTGGTAGGGAGAACCAGTCTAGCGAACCAAAAACAGGTGCACATTAATCATACCTTTCAACAACAAAAAAGGCGCCAAAATTGGACTCGATGAAGTTAAGATTTGCTAAGCATGGTCATCATTTCTGTTTTCCCATAAAGTAACGAGCAAATTGTCTATATCTGCATTCATTTATACACGTATTAACCATTCCCCTTTATTAAAGCTATTTTTGCGTGATATCCATGTAGTACACGCTTTCTATGATACCTAGGAATCATGTACCATCACGATATTCATGATCAGAACCATCCCAATAAATCTCACCACCAGCATTATCATCACCGTCGTCATCATGTTCTTCATAATAATCACCGTCATCATCATCACCATGATCATTATCATCATCATTAACATCTTCATGATCATCAACACCTTCTTCATCAACAACATATTCACCATCATCATTATCATCATCATTACCTCGATCGTCATCATCATCTTCATCATCAACATCATCTTTATCATCATCATCGTCATCACCATCATCATTACCATCAACATCACCACCATCATCATCATCCTAATCATCGTCGTCATTACCATCACCACCATCATCATCATCATCATCATCATCGTCATCATAATCATTCTCTTTTTCATAATCATCTTCATTTTGCGTCGTCATCATCCTTTGAAAGATCATTTTACTAAGTCTATATTGCAACTTGCGTGTTTTATAACTATCATCCTCATCATCATAATCATCATCGTCATCATAATCATCATCATCGCCATTATCATTATCACCATAACTCTCATGTTTAAAACACTAATTTGACAGTAGAGTTATAAAAATGCATGATATCCCTTTCCCACGTTCCAAATAACAAACAATTTGTGAGATCGTGGTTTAGCATGTTAAAGTACATGTTTTATTTTAAATTGAAGCGAGCCCGCTTTATTTTGTATTAATTTACAAGATTTTCTTATTTCAATCACATATCATTACAAAACAAGTCCATAAAAATATTACTATTTACATACTAAAAAAGGTCAAAGTAATAAAGAAGAGGAAATAGGATAAGTATAAGTGATATTCAAGTTTCAAGATAAATACTGTGATTTCAATTAAATTTAGGTTCCACAATTGTAACTACATCACAATAATCTCTTACTTTTTGTTTCTAATGTTGTTTTAAAGATATATGATATAAAAAACGAATTATATATATATTTTGACTAATGTTGGAAATATATAAATGAGTTTCTAGTACAACTTTGTATTGCACACGAGCTGCAATGTTTATAAGAAGTTTGAAAACATGTAAATCTAAACAAAATCTAAGATTTGTTTGCTATAATCATGGCATTTTCTCTAAAAAGATATTTACATGCATTATGATCCAATGACAGACGTGTAAAACCAAAGAAAAATACTAAATGCATTCCTTTTCAAACATAGACAAAATACTATGAAACGAAATCACGCCTTCTTTTTTTGTTTACACCTACACAGTTATATATACATTGATTTGACGTATTACGATGCCCAAAGGCACAAATATTGCATAACAATTGCAGCTTTACTTATTCATTTTTGAAAGAATAATAAACTCCTAGATAAATATCAATTTACAAAATTATTTTCACTATAATATTAGTAATCAATATACAAAAGGACTCACGTTTTACAGATTTGATGAAACCTCTAGATTTGCAAATGTAAACCTTGAGAGATAAGGGGATGAGTGTTTTTTGTGTGTGCGTGCGTGTGTGTTATTTGGTTTTTACAGACGTGTATCAATTATATATGATTATTTACTTTGGGACCGACCTTTTAACAATCTAGCTTCGTTCTTTTCAACTGATAAATTAGAACAAGAGCGGTGACAGAGAAATTATTCACATCATAATAATATATAGCCGTTAATTTGTAAGGTACAGGTCATTATCAAATTTACATTTTATAATACAAAAGTTTATGATACAAATACATTTACATTCCACAATACCTGTCATACCGTACACACAATAAAACACATGCTAATTGATTCGTCGTCATTTGCAATTCTTCTCTCTTTTTGTCTCCTCTTTACTAGAATATCTTTTAAAGAATATTCTAGCATACGAAAAAGACAATAAATTAGAAATTCAAGTTCAGCCAAACAATGTGCCACCTATTCATTCTCCCCCAAATAGTGACGTCCGCTAATGATACATTATCTGATATATTATATTACGATATAAAGTATTATCACATCAGAAAATATGATCCGATTCGGAAGGAAGTGCAACACGGATGAAGATAGAGTGAGGAAGATATATATATATTATCCCGACACGGCACTCATATCCTTTGGCAAGATATTAACCTACATTTGCTACTCTTCACCCAGGTGTTAAAATGGGTACCCGGTAGGATGCGACCGTCATTGCTGGTCAAACAGTTTTTAAGCGTCAAGTAACACCTGGTTGGAATGCTCCCCAGGGAGTGGAGATTGTGCACACAGTATGTGTGGGCAGGTATTGAATCCAATGACCTGGGTAATAGTACATCTTTAAAGCGCTTAGAGACATCGTAGATGTATTAAGAGCTATATAAAAGCGGAATATTATTATTATTATTATTATTATAGATGTATAGATAGATAGATAGATGGAGAGAGAGAGCGAGAGAGCGAGCGAGAGAGAGAGAGAGAGAGAGAGAAAAGGGGGGGGGAGAGAAAGAAAGAAAGAAAGAATGAGAGAGAGAGAGGGGGGTGCAAAATGGAAAACTGGAAAGGATTGGAAATAAATAATTAATATAATATAGAAGGTTAATACGATTGAAGAGGACGAGATGTGACAACAGGAGAAAATGAAAAAAGACAAGAAAATGAACGGGAAGGGATAAAGAGAGAATAATGTATTTGATATTGATATTATGTACACATCAGTAACACATTTCGTTATACTATTGGAAATATTATATTTGGGTATTTAGGTAATCAAAACGCTTGCAAATTATATCACATTGAAACAAAATCAATGATAAGTTCAGTCATGCACTGCTTTGCTATCACCCCCCTCCCCTCTCCCCGTCCATTTCTCTCGCTTTTTTCTTCTTTGCCATGAGTCCTCCCTCACTGGTGCAGAGATTGGTTGGTTGTTTTTGCTACCACTGCTTGGCATGTGGACTCCATCTACCTTGCAACTTTAAATCTTTTTATTCTGCGTCCCTGCTCGTCTCTTTTCACTTTTGTTCAAAATCTATCATTTTTTCAATCCTTCACAAAGTGTTCCCAGGCCTTTAACGATATATGGATGAATTGTTTATGATAATAGATCATGTTTATTTATCGTAAGATCTTTTTTCTTCTGATTAATGTCAAAGTGAATGCGCTTATGGTTTAAATAAAGGGGGGCATCCACAAAACCTAATCGGAAGGGGCACGCAAAAATTTATACGTGCATGATGTGGGGTTGCCCCGATAGATTGGATGTGCGCCTCTTATACCTCTCTGGCTACGCATCTGTGTGGTGTTTTTCTTCTTTCTCCATCTCTTTTTTAATTCTGCATTATAGGTGATAACGATGTTACACCCGGTGCTTTTATGACATAAGGCACGGGAAAAAAGATTAGAGAAAGTGTGACCATCGGTGGAAATATCTCGTTTGCATCGGCGGCCGATTGGGAGCTCTCTAGCGGGTGGATCCTGTCTCGTTTGTACGGAGGTTAGATGAGGATCGTTGTCGATCAATGCCGGTTGACCGTAGGATGAACTTGAGGAGGGTGGAAGGTTGAGGGATCTCATCCAGATGACCTCGTACCATCATCCGAAAGATGACGTTAAAGTGAGGATGCTTGAAGCTGTAGATGAGAGGGTTGACGCAGGAATTAGCCATGAGGAGAACGCCGGCATAGACGTCCGCAATGCTCTTCACAGGGATGGTGAGTGTGATCGGGTAGGGCAGGATACACAAGAAGAAGGCACAAACCACGTAGAACAGGTTCTTGGTGATCTGGATCTCGCGTTTGTTGCGGGACTTCCGGGCTTGCGTTTCCAGGGTGCAGTTGTGACCTTTCTCGGTTATTTTGATGGAGGAGCCGTTAACGAGTTCACGAGTGGAGGCAGCGTCACTAGGCTTGGTGTGGTTGTTGCTGTAGAAGACCTGAAGACGACGGTTGTGACGCCTGACATGGACGTAGATCATCGCGTAGCACACGATGATGGTGATGAAGGAGATCAAGAACGTGAGAGCGACGATGTAGTCGTTGATGTAGACAAGTTCATGGTCATCATCCCAAAAGCACACCTTGTATGCCTCTGAATATCCAAGCTTACCGATTCCCAGAGAGGGTGGCAAGGCAAACGCCATGATGGGGTAGAACCACGCGAAGAACACCATCAGACCTAACTTGACAGGGCTGTAGAGTTTGCAGTAGTTGTCCCGCGGGTTTACGATCAAGTAGGCACGGTTGATAGCTATGAGGGAAAGGTTGACCAGTGTAGCTCCTAGACACACCATGGTAATCCCACCAGCCACGGTACAGAATCCTGAAGGAAGTGGCCATCCAGACCTGCTTAGCATGGACACCGCGTTGAATGGCAGGAAGAGACAGTTGAGCAAGTCGACGCAACTGGTGTTTAGAACGAACACATTAGTCGCCGTCTGTAGCTTGCGGGAGAGGTTGACGGCAACGATGACCATGAGGTTGCCTACCAGACCAACGACTGAGATCAAGATAAAGATAATACCGATGAAGACACGTTGTTTGTAGTCTGTAAGTTCCCATTCTGTCTCGTTACCAGCCGGTGTGGTATTTAAGAACACGGTGCTCATACTTGGTATCGTTGAATTCATGTTGTTAGGTGACTGTAATCTTTTCAGCAGACCAGATCCCTGTGAAGAATTAACATGCCAAACAAAAAATGTTATTCACAAAATTTCGTATTCAGTACGAATGGAACCTGTTTTTTTCTTCAATATTCACCACCTTTCATTTCATTTATGTAAGATTATAGCGCATTCCATAGTATATCACGTTTAAACAATATTTTTTTGTATATACCCGGACATTAATGTTCATTAAACGATGAAATCCTGTTTCAGCGTAAATGGTAATAACAATTTTTCGGAAAAATGACCTCTTTAAAGTGCCTAAGTTAAAAATTCTGATTCATTTACAATACCAACTGGAAGTTGACAAAACTTGGTTAAAACGCTGGGAATGGGTCTTTAAAAAAGAGATTGCGAATAACATAATCGGTTGTTTCATCCATATTAGGCGGAAGGCACTCTTGTTAATTTGATTCCATTTACAATCTTTCATCAATCAGCTAATTTAATATTTACTAGTTTGCAATACGAAGTGTTTTGCACAACCAATCAAAAGAAATTGACAGCTTAATATATTTCTCAAACTTCGGTCATCTTATAGTACGTGCGTTTTCTAAATGGGCTTACACTCAACAACAAAAAAAACAGCAAATTGGCACTTAAGACACAAGATTGAAATCGCTTTGCTTTATCATTAAAGTCTTCACTTAAAGGTACTATGTCCCATTTGCAGGCCAAAAAAATGAAAAGGTTAAATTCCAACTACATTTGAAAGATAATACTTATTTAGAACTTCCCTAAAAAAGGTGGGGCTTGAAAATGTCTTCAAGTGGGAAAATAATGACTATTAGTTGTCAAATCGACTTTAGGGCTACAGAGCCCAAAAGTAATAGTCTTGATTTTCAGACAATTGTACCGAATGGTCATACGTTTTATGCTGCGCAAAGATTCAATCAGTTTAATCTTGGCCATCACAAGAAGTGGGTTATTGATGTAGACAAATGCTCATGTACCCTTTACAACTCTTTTCATGTATGTTATTACCAAAGAAGAAAAAAGCCAGTCAGTCACTCAATAGTGTCTGACAGTGAAGTCTAGCAAGTAAACGGGTTTCCTTGCATAATTTGAATATGAGGACACTGCTAACGTTTAAATTTCACAGATAGGACATATGTCATGACATATTCATAATTCCTGCAAAGTTCTACAGAATTTGAGGTTGGCTGCAAAAGGGACATAGTACCTTTAAGATATGTTTGTGAATTAATGCCACTAGCTGAATGTTCTAATCCTTATTTCAACTATTTCTAAAAAGGTTAAAAGTTGCGAAAGATGTGCCGATCCACTTTAAAAAGATATGTGTATTATTAAAATGTCGCAATGAGAAAACCTTTAAAAAGTAGCCAATCAAAAATTATTGTAGAGCGAGAACTTACCAAACAATCCACAAACCAAGAAGAAAAGGAAACAAAAAATCCACGATTGAGAGCTCGGTTTACATCGGACTATCACCAGGTGCTCCTGCGCTCGTGATGAAAGCTGGACTGAAGTATTTTGGACGATGAACCAACTTTCATAAAATTTAATGAGGGAACACCATCGGTTTAAAACAACCTGAAACCAGGGTTTGTTGTAGGCCTACCAGCATAGGGCGGATTTGATTTCAGTAACATGCGGGATACGCTTTCATGAGTGGCTTTTGTAAACCATCATGTGCTCGTCACCGGGTATTGACTCTGTATTAAAGGGCGTTGATACCACCAGGACGTACCGAAAGGGAGGGTTGGGGAAGAGGGGCAATGGGCAGGTGGGGGGGGGGGGGGGCACGGTAGTATGCAATTTCTTATGAGATTGCGGAAAGAGGTCACCTGATCTTCCTGATTTTTCCCCTGTAAATATTGTAAACTTTGACGAAGTTTTTATATCACTTAACTATGTTTTCACAAGATAATTATTTAATTAAGGCCCCGGCGCCCGCACACGAAAAGCAGCAACATTATTTAAAATAGAAAAAGTTTTGACCCTTGACTATGACAGTGGTGTGTTAAAAAAATGCATATCTCTTTAAAACCTCCCCATTCTGCTCATGCGCATAAATTAATATACACGTGAATATGGAAATATATAAGGTCCATAACATGGATATGCATATGTATTGATGGGACTTACCTTGAGTGTTAGTTACTAATGTCTCTGTATAACAATATGTTGTAGTCATTGTATCTATGTGAATGTTTAATCTTTGTTCAATGAAAGATCAAATCAAAATCAAAATCGAACCTTAATTCGTTCATTCCCCCCTTATTTTGTTGGGGGGGGGGCGGGGGCGGGGTGTGGGGGCGGGGGGCGGGGGCGTAAATCGCATCGGTCTATCCAGAGTCGAAAAAGATAGTGAGACACAGTTTCTTTAACTCTTTTTTGTTTTAATAGAAGGCAACAGCCCACTCCCCCTCCTGTATCCATTCATGGGCATAGGAATGAATAAATCATTTTCTTTGGGAAAATTGAAACTTTCGGACTGATTTCAATATAGTTATTTTGCGAACAGCGATGGCATCAAAGCCTTAATGCCGAAGCAAACTTATTTCCAATATTCCATGTAAAAAAATTAAGAAAATACTGCACAAGATCATAATGAAATAGAAGAAGGTGTTAAATGAACTTGTTTTCTGATGACCATTGACGTGTAGCAAACTAATTCAAACATATAATGTTCATTTTGAAGTTGCACTTTCCATTATCCGTAACGACTTTAAAAACACCAACAAATACCTCGCGCGAGACTGTTCTCCCTATATACATGATATAAATCATGTTCTGATTACGTAATATCTCTCTGTAATATGTTTACATTTCAAATGGTGATGGGCGAGGCTATTGAAATTGCTTACGGCTGATTTCTAGAAAGTCTTTGCGATCGTGTTACCCTTTAAAAACTATTGAAAGCAACCAATTTTAAAGGTAATACAAAGTTTTGGAAAATTTCGAAAATTGGGTGGATAGTGACTCTTTACAAATTTGATATATGTGGATACCCCTGTGGATGTATTATAAACACTAGAAAACTAAGCCCATAAAACACTTCTGGTTTCGAGATAAATTGAATATACAAATTTACCGGTGCTCCCGGTAAATTATTTAAAAAAAAATTCAAATAGCGCCTACGGCTGTACAATGGAAGCTGCGTCCATGAAAATATCAGAATATGTATAGTTGTGATATATAGTTTCCAAACAGGAATAGCTAATCGGTTGATTTTAGTCATTAAACATTGTTTTATAGCTTAATTAATATCTTGACCTTGAGAGGGAGCTATACAACATAAAGAGTTTATTATTTACAATTTCATCACTTTACACTCGATTTCAACCGCGACAACGATCACTGAATATTGTTGGATCGCATATGCTTCCAATATGTTCATTTCAACCAAATTCATGACCCCATACCAAAACTTTGTATTACCTTTAAGGCTGGAGTTGTAACTCAACTCATCCCTAACACCATTTTTGGGGTCGTTAAAAATAATTTGCAAGGATTTCGCAGGTATTCATTTATGACTGCAACAGAGAGTGGAGAGAATGATTTGTCAAGCGAATTGTCATAAAACCTCAGGATGCGTTAGTACAGAACTCGGACTTGATGATGGTCTACTTTCCCATGTCAGAGTAGCTAGGTAATGACCTTGTTTGAAGGTTAGTTAAGTGCATCAAAAGCCTTTACAGAATCGAATGGACAAGAACTGATTTCACACGTCACTGATAAATCAGGGATTTCCTAGTAATAGAATCTCGGTTGAGGGCCCTTTCTCCACTTAAACCTCTCTTAGTACCATGACCATGCCACATGACATTGACCCAGTATAGTACAATAGCATGTCCAAACTTTCTGTCTTGTAGAAACATTAACGCGTTTCTAAACACCCCCAAACAAAAATAAAAAAATATATAGATATACACAAACTCCAAAGGAGACAAATCGGCGTCATCATGCCTGAATTTCTCAGTCAAATGTTCTAACAAAAGTATTTTCCCCCTTCATGTTGTGCGTTAGAAAGAAAACAAAAAGAGATGTCCGATAATCATGTATATGATACATGATTGTGTACTACAGTACGCGACAGTATGTTTCGCCAGTCAGAAATGTCTAAACTTTAAAACTTCCTGACTTCATTAATGCATGTCCGATTCCGTTCAATATGCTTCACCAATCAGAAACAGATCTCTGATTCTGTATCTCTGATTTTCTGCTCTCCTTCAAGGAAACTCAGATGGATCTTTCATTTAAAACTGGTTTACAGCGTACACGGATAAATTCATGTGATTTTTGTTTCTTATTCTGTTCGAACTTTCACCCAATCTTGATTTACTTGCTCTCCCTCAAGGCAACTTGCTACAATGTTCAAATGTTAAAGGTAAAGACCAGTATTGGAAACGCCCCAATTTCAAAAAAATGAAATGGAAGCTCTCATTACCAATCATGTGAAAGAATATGTTTTGACTAATACATGATGATAAAAAAATTGCCGGGAAACCGCCTACTAATTCATATATTTGGTAAATTTGTTTCTCTCATGGTCTGTGAGAGATATAGGGTAGTCCCATATACATCTTTCTGTGTATAGCGCTTGTAACTTTACGAAGAATGGGCCAAATTTCTTATCATTTTGATGATTCCAGAACCTTGCAGATGCTAGATGCTAGATGATCAACCTTTTCTGATCGATTCCACAACGTTTCTTTCACAATGCAATCGCATGACCATAACTGGTCTTTACCTTTAAAATTGCTCTCCCATTCACACAGGGGTCGGGTGTAACCTGGCAGAGTTCATCAAGTGTTTTAATCGTGAAACAGGACTCCACTTCAAGAAACATCCTGCCCGTAAAACAACATGAATCGATCTTACAGCTTCCAGAATCGCCTGGTCGTATTAGTTTTCTTTATCCTACATCTTAAAAAAAAAAGTAATACTAAAGGCGCATAAGTTGTAATGTGTAAAGAAGAAATCTGAGACATAAACTCCATAAGCTCCATAAAATATCCAAAACAAGTGTGGGGCAGACAAGTGAGAGTTAGTTTAAATCCAGTCATTGCTCCCACTTTCTGTAAGAACATTGCTATAAAGTTTAATGCTATTCTATAATTACCTTGCTTGTGTTCAGACTTCTTTTGACTTGAAGGTGATCGCAGGGTATTCACCTTCACAAGTCCAATTAACACGATCGCAATTACTTTCGAAAAATCAACTCAAGCGCTATTCCAATACCCTATTGTTATGATTGTAAACCCTGTGGCCCGAATTCACAAAGCAAGGTTTGAGCTCAGACCAAGGTTTGTCGTCAAACCTCCTTTTGTTTCGCCAAACCTCCTTTTGTTCTTTACAAACCAGGTTTGTAAAAAACGCGTAAAAACGCGTCATGACGTACGAAAACCAGTTTGTCGACAAACCTTCTTTGTGAATTCGGGCCAATATGTTCGGATTACGTAATACGTCATTGTCATGTTCGGACTTTCCAATGGGTGACGCACAAGGCTACTGAAATTGTCTCATATGGGATAATTGTCGAAAGCAGTTGCAATCGTGTAACAATTTAGAATTAATGATATAAGCCAAGTTATGTTTTTTTGCTGGCTGCTGTGCGGTTGGGGAGAGGGGAGGAGCCAAAAAACTAAGAGTACCCCATTTAGTGGCCAGTCTTGTAGATCCGACTAGCATTGCTAATAGTTATAGGATTCTTCTCTTCGTATGTTTTTTGTGCAACTGAGAGGACGAGTACAACTTGTAAAGCATGTTACAGCAATCTTCTACCAATGAATGAAGTAAACAAATTATTTGTTTATGGATATTATTTGAAAACAAATTGTTACGTTTCTCGCATATTGCTTTATAAAATTTTAATAGAATTTTACTTACAAATTGTCTTACAAAGAAATTGTGAAGAATCTGAGGCAAATTTTGAGGCAAAGCCTTAAACGTAAGTCACAAAAGTATCATAATACCAACAGAAATATGGAAGATGTAATTTCAATTTTATGACATCTTCGTAGTATATAATGCATAAAATTTATTTTGTAGTATACACTCAATTTCACATCACACAAAGATATGGGCCAGTGTTAAATTTCTTATGCTGCATAAATATACATCTTTTAGCCATAATTTCAAATGCATGATTAACTTTTCCTTATTTTGAGACTGTTTTGTATTAAAGCTCAATGATTAAGCATGTGACACATTTCGGGGACATTTGTAAATTTGCAGATAATTGTTTCAAGAAAATCAGGTATGGGATACAGTGTAGTAGGCCAACAGATGGAAGGAGCGGAGGAAGAAGTATGGGAGGAGGAGAAGAAGAAGAAAAATAAATGAAGAGGAAGATTTACTTAATATGATGAATAGTTCACAGAAATGACTGAAAGATGAAAGAGGTGGAAGTGATGGCAAATACTAAAGAGAGTTGTAGAACAGCAAAATATATGGCCACTCCAGAGAGAGCAATGGTGAGAAAGAGTGAGTAGTGTGTGTGTATGTGTGTGTGTGTGTGTGTGAGAGAGAGAGAGAGAGAGAGATATTGTGTGTATATGTGAAAGAGAGAGAGAGCGAGAGAGAGAGAAAAGATAGAAAGAGAGAGAAAGAAAAAAAAAAGCAATTAATATGTATACCCAAGTAATAAATAAATATAAGATTGCATAGACTGTCACACAAAATACTCTTTTTAAAACAGGCATTCCCTTTTCATCTCTATGACAAGTATATTTTAATATTTCATCATAACACATTGCATTTATTATCATTCAAACATACATTCATGGTGTGTATACAAGAAAAAATGAAAGACCAGCTTCCTTGTACAACGAAAGACACAAGATTTCATCTCCATTATGTATACATGTATGTACACTCTGATATAACGGCACATAGATTATTCAACACATAATACACATACATGTACATTTACCCTTTTTATATATGCATGTATACGTGACCACATTGCTCCAGGTGAAGGAGAAATACCCTTATGTTTGCACTCCTCAAGTTAGATAAGAGGATCCAGCTGCAAAACATTTCATTACCACATTTATTTCCTTTGCTCTTCATTGGTTACAAATCTGTTTTCGTTTGAATTCAATTTACCAGTAGGATGTTAAGTAGAACATTCCATGAAACTAAGAGGTAATTTATAAATTTGATACCATTCAGCTTTTTAGTTAGGATGTAAAGTAGAACATTCCATGAAACTAAGAGGTAATTTTTTAATTTGATACCATTCAGCTTTTTAGTTACTAATAGGTGTATCAAACACAGGGAGTGGAGTTTACTTCTACGTCTGGGGCTTTATGTAATGCACGCAAACTTCATTCACTTAAAAAAAAAGAATCAGTCATGAGGAAAAGTCACCTATCACAAAATAATCCTCAATCAAAATTTATTCATTCTGGTCCATATAAAAAGTGGAAAATTTATTTTCTACCAGCATCATAAGGTGCATAGCAATACAAACCAAAAGTCAATGTAACAGAGAAAACAAAATGTATACACCCAAATTAATTCTTTTGCATTAATTTTTGAATGATGAAGGCTACATAAATTTGAATTTGTACCATTGGCATACAATTAGCTCTAAATAGTTTCCTCCCGTTTTACCCATTCTATCCACTCAAATTCTGTTTGTATTCATTTATTCAGTCTACTTCTCCAGATTTTTTGAGTTTGGGTGGGTAGGCATTTAATTATGGATCTGATATAGTTTCATTATTACATAACACCTTCAAGTTACACCAAACCATAGCCACTTAACGTGCCTGCCCATACATGGAAAAAGTAGCATTAAATTATTTCAGTCCAAGTGTAATGATATCAGCAAATTAGTTGCTGAGCTATGTGGTTACATTTATTTTGTCCAATATTGCATATATCGTGTTGATATTGCATGCATCCAGTAAAATTAACTACACGGTAATTGACCAATCAGATTGCAGGGATTCTCCTAACCATCTTATAATACATTTTGTTCTTCATAGGCCTAATTTAAACAGGAACAAAGATACATTTTCCAACAGGTATTTTGTATACAGTTTGCCATCATCCTCGTCGTCCTACGAGTCATGACTCAGTGACCCTTTGTATTAAACCCTATTGATGATGACGTTCCAACAACTTTTTGACTCTTTCAATAAGGCTGCTGTTCATACAATGTACTTACGTTGGCATTTTGCTGTTTATGGATAACTCTTCTTTTACAAAGAAATTTTAATTTAAATGAAATTAAATGGTTTGACCAGGTCCACAAAATACCAGCAACAACAAAAAGGCACAAAAAGGAAAAAAATGTTTTCCTTTGAAAAGTACAAAAATTAGCCAACCTTTTAAACTAATTGATACTTTCAATAAGCTATAGGAGTACTACATAATATATTCCATTGGGGAGTTAGTATCATGGCCTAGTCCGGTCAGATATTGGTAATTTCACAAACTTCTGATAAGGCACTAAACATTTCTCTGTGCCAATTGATGAGAATAGTCCCTAAGAAGTGGATGTTCATCAGTAAGTTCATCAGGGTTGCCAACATATATATGGGCAGTGACGCAGAAAATGCAAATTGGAATTTGGTTGAATTTGATTCAACTTCTTCACTGTATTCAAGAAAATAAAATCTTTCAGATTTATTCCTCTTCAGATTACAAGTACATTAGCAATGGAAAGTGGTCACTCCATCCATAGAAAGAACTCACATATGGCATGACAGTCCATCCCTACAAACTTGCTGCAATATTGCACAAAATAGTCCACTTGTGCCGCATCATTGAAAGTTCATTCCTTTAAATTGAATCTCTGCACATTAGTTTACAATCTTCATAGACCAAGAGGTGTACATGTACATCTGTAGGATGCAAGCCACCATGTGATGCAGAAATCACCCATATGGACGGGTGGTCCTGTCTAACTGACCTCTGACCTCTTATGACCTCTTAAAGTTCATGAGAGCTCACATTTAGAAAATAGACCTATCATTTGCTGTATCATGTCCAAATCAAAATTTCATTTCATCTCCCAAATCTTACCAATTGCTGCTATCACTGTCCTCATCCCTTTCAAACTGATTCACTTCACATCTATCTGCAGTATTTCTTTAGGATGTAAACTTCTATATGATAAAGACATCGCCCGTGGATGGGCAGTACTGATTGCTTGACCTATGACCTATGACATCAACTCAATATCATCCGTTGCAGATATCCTTCACTCTGTCTACTATTGTCCTGACCTCCGCCATAGCTCCAAAACCTGCCAAAGAAAAGGAACATTTCTTTTAGATTTTACATATGCAGAGTTGGGACCACTAGTTCAGTTTGATTATCTTTTTTAAATGGATAATCACCTATGAACAGTTTCTACAAAAATATTCTTGAAAATCTAATGGATTAAAATCTGGATCTACGTGATATAAACAAAGTAGGGACTATAACATGTGGCTAGATTTCTTTATATTTATTTGCTCATTACTCAGCTAATATGCAATTATTCTTATATAATCTTGCAAATGTGATTCATTAATCAACTGGATCCTTAATCATACTTCTGAAAGGGTCTATTCTGTCCGTGTCAGAACTCTTAATTGACTTTAGCGAATGCTAACGTTCATAATGATTGAACACATTTCAATGATAAACCTCTTGACTACTGAATTTTCTCCCTCCAATATACTCAATACAAGAACCAAACGCTTCACCTTGGCTATGAGATATCATGCATTTTTCTTAAAGGAAACCAAAACCTTCATACTAAGTTACTTTTATTGTAAAGTTTAAAAGATTTGAATAAAATCAGTGAAAATTTGAACAAAATCGGGCAAGGAATAAGAAAGTTAGAGCTTTTGAAATGACTAGTCACTAGAGGGCAGTATTCAATTTGATGACATCATCTGTGAACAACTCTCCATGCCTTTTGTACATAAAATTTCACAATTTTGTTGTTTTCTTCGTTTTTATTTGTGTTCAGGATCCGACTTCATAACATGTGAAGTAGAATATCATTTTGCATTCTATATCTTGCTATTAGGGGATAACATTATCTCAATCACAAGAAAGAAGGAAAAACATGAAATTTGATGTACAAAAGGCATGGAGAGTTGTCCACAGATGATGTCATCAAATTGAATACCGCCCTCTAGTGACTAGTAATTTCAAAAAGCTCTTACTTCCTTATTCCTTGCCCGATTTTGTTCAAATTTTCACTATATTTTTCAAATATCTTAAAATTTACAATAAAAGTAACTTAGTATGAAGGTTTTGGTTTCCTTTAAAACTAAAAGAGTTAAATCACAGTAGTATTCTATCAGCGCATGCAGTCTGACTGCAATCTGACACCTGTTTACAGTGTCTTGAGTTGTTCAAGAGCACGTTTTATATTCTCAAGTGCAATACGAGTGAAGGTGAAGTGTAATTCAAGGTCTTAAAAACAACCAGGTCATTACAAAAAAGGGTTAACATACTCTTTGATTCAAGTTTGCCATCCTAGTTTTCTTTCTTAACCCAATGCCGACTACATGTACATGCTAGCTAGGTTAAAGTAATTTAAGCCCAAGGTATTGGTAACCTCGAGTGGTGGTCATAGAAACAAACAAAACCTCATTCTAGATGGTAAATAAACGATCTCTGCTATTCAATCTTGGTGGAAAATGTCTCACACATGAGTTATGAGCAAGGAAAGATAAGGAAATTAATATTGTGAGATAGATTTAGCACTAGTGCATTGGGTAACTTACACACATCCGAAATGCAAAAGGCATCATTGCTGGTGGTGTTGGTGTATCTAAAGTGTAATTGGGCTTATCTTAGAGTTTTGGTAGTGATGGTTTTAACATGTAGTTTATTTAAGGTAAATAGGGTATATATACTTGGTATAGTTTAGAGTGCTACCTCTATGCCTCTAGGCTAAAAAATATGATCTTCAATAGTTATGACCTCTATGTTCTTGGCATGTCTAGTTTGTTTGTTCGTTTTACCTGACTGCTAAGAAAGATTGTGTATCCTTGTAAACCAGGGGACTGACGGCTTTAAGTCCTCTCCGAGGGACTTGGTGGTTGAGGATTAATGCCTTACTAAAGGGCACTAGCACATCAACTTGGTTTCGAACCCAGGACCTCGCGGTTACGAGACCATTGCTCTACCACTGAGCCATCGCTCCTCCTTCATGCATGTTCATTCAATGAGCTATCTTAAAGATAAAGTTGAGTTCTGGTCAAGCTATTGCATTGTGAGAGAAAAGTTGTGGAATCGATCAGAAAAGGTTGATTGGCCCAGTCTTGGTAAAGTTACAAGCACTGCACACAGAAAATATGTATATAGGACTATACGAACATGTGGCATGAAAATCCAGATTTTTATGATGTTACATGTCATACTTAGAGTATTAAGGCATTTGAAGAGCCATGCTTTTCAGGGAACATTTTTATCTGATGTTCTTCCACAATTGCATAATACAATGATAATGCTCACAAATTATTTTTCACCTCTTCCCAGAACTCAACCTTCTCTTTAAGTAGAATAAAGCTTCACCTTTGTCTCCACAAGCCAAGAGTTTCTCCACGCAGGGGATCTCAGAATAACCCAAGGACGTCAGCTCTGAAACCTGTCGATGGGTGATGGGGTGCTCCCACATGTGGGTGTTCATCGATGGACAGAACAACAGAGGGCGCTTCATGTCCCATGCCCTGACGACACATGTCTGTCAAGCACCAGCCATCAAAGGTGAGAAAAATGAGGCAGAGAAAGATAAAGAGAGAAAAAGGATTGGCGAAATAAGGTTCTAAATTTAAATTTTTATTCTGGATGGATGGCACTACACTATTCTATCATGATCTTAATAATTATATGAAGAGTTTAATTCCAAAGGAGCTAAATCCTTTTTTTGTAACTTCAGAGAAAAAAGAATTGTTTACCAGATTTTGTATAGGCGTCTATGGAAAAGTGACATTAGAAGTGCATTTTTATCATAATTGCTCCCTAAATTTAGGTAAATAATTTTGTTGAAAGATGGGTACCTAAGTGAACATTGTTCTGATATCAATAACTCAATTTTCATCAAAAGTGGATTTAGCTCCTTTTGGAATTAAAGATGAAGTTGAGTTCTGGTCAAGCGATTGCATTGTGAAAGAAACGGTGTGGAATCGACCAGAAAAGGTTGATCATCTAGCATATAAGAATTTGTGTGTATTGCAAGGTTCTGGAATCATCAAAATGATAACAAATTTGACCAAGTCTTGGTAAAGTTACAAACACTGTACACAGAAAGATGTATATGGGACTACACGAACACGTGGCGTAAAAATCCTACCCCCGAGTTATACGATGTTACATGACATATTTAGAATATAAAGGCATTTGAAGAGCCATGCTTTTCAGGGAACATGTCTTATCTGATGTTCTTCCACACTTACATAATAAGAATGATAACGCTCATAAATTATTTTTCACCTCTTCCCAGAACTCAACCTTCTCTTTAAGCTCTTCATATGTAGCAAAGGCTGAATCTCCAAATAGAGGTTTAGATTCATATATACACCTATGTAAACAAATGTAAAACAATAAAATTGACATAAAACAGATTGATGGACTGTATACTTGGTAAAAAGGTGTTTTTACTATAAAATAATAATAGTACTTGTAATCATTTTCCATTATAGATAGGATGGGGGAGTATTTTAGATGAAGACGTAATACCTAATTTTTGTCCATATTATTCAGGTGGTGTATCACATGGCATAATTTTACTGGTAACCAGTGAAAGCATTTTTTTTTTTTTTTTGGGGGGGGGGGGGGGGGGGGGGAAGGGGCTGACCTTACAATAGAGTTTGTATGGTTTACATATCAATTTTTGAAACTACATGTATGAAAATAAAATCAACCCTTCAACTCTTCAGTCCAAAGCATGAAGTGAGTACTCTTCGATGGCTAGGCCATAACAGAAATAGCGCCAGCTAGTGCTCAGTCTCTTTGCTAGTACTTGCATCAACTGGGTTTTATAGAGATACAATCCACATCATACATGTATCTCCAACTTTTAGTCCATATAACAAGCACAATCAGATAAATGTGAACTCTACATCTGGCAGATCATAAATAGGGAAAATTGCCCTTTGATAGGGTGCACTGGTAAATAGATGATATCACAAATATGATCATGTATCTATAAATATATCTCCGCACCATCTTACTGTCCCGCAGATAAGGAATTAAGAGACGTTCCTCACTTGGACCATATATGTGATCATTTATTTTCTTTCTTTGCACCTACATGTAGCTCAGAATAAAAGTGTTTTTTTTTAATGAAACCCATCACCAAACTAACTAAAACGCAACCAATAACTAACAGAATCTAAAAAAATGAGGTGTAATTTTGTTAGTTGTAATTTTTGTTTGGTCTATTTTTGGTCTTGGCAGTATGAATGGGGTGTTGTATTACTTACCAAAAGATTATCGCAGATACCACTGGCTATCTTGCCTAATGTGTTAGCATCTAAAGGAGCAATGACCATCACATCAGCCCATCGTCTCAGCTCAATATGCAGGACTGGATCTGAGATCTTCTTCCAGGCCTGAAACATGTAATTCATGCAACAATTGTTAACATCCAGATGTAATCTTAGACTCAGGGACAAGAGCCTCCTGGAAACTACTCCCTAGGACAATCAGGGCCCCGTCTTACAAAGAGTTGCGATTGATCCAAACCAATCGCAGGTCCTCTAATCATTCGCAAGTTTGCAGTCTCCTATCTCTTACGTACATAGTTATCGCAAATAAGTTGTGATTAATATCAACGATTTGTAAGACAGGGTCCAGGACAACTACCCTCCTATCACAATTAGAGTATTATTAAGCATCTTGAAGGGCAGTGACCATCACATCAGCCCGACGTCTTAGCATAATATGTAGGACTGGGTCTGAGATCTTCTCCAGGCCTGAAACACAGGATTCACAAGAGTACTGAAACCATCTAGATCTTATCTTTGATTCCAGAACAAGGAATTGTCAGAAACCCATTCCTTTGGATTTAACTAACCCCTAGGAAAACTACCTCTGCTATTAGAGAAATACCTAGTGGGACAACTACTCCAAGATAATTCCAGAAACCACCTAAAACAACTACCGCTTAGGATTGATAAATCCAAGCACCCTCAGGTCATATCCCATAGACAACTACCCCTAAACAACCATTGCTTCATAGGAAAAGTATCCCCTTGGATAATTAAGTACCTCTTAGGACAAATATCCCTAAGAAAACTACCACTTACATGTACATGTAGGAAAACTACTACTTCAAATAACCATTCCCTAGGACAACTCCTGTTTCAGACTAGTACGCTATCAGATAAGGACAATGAACCTCTAGGATAACCGACTCTTGAACAACCACTGACTCCTAGGAAAACTAGGCCAACCTCTAACATCTATTAAGGTTTTTCTTAGAAAACAAACCGAGCACTCTACAGTATGCTGGCTAAAATCTCTCAAAGAAATACATTACAAATGACAACTGATTTTTTTCACCATCAGGTTTAAATAAGTGCAGCTCAAATCAGGGATAAGAACCTGTTAGGCGAGGGCGGATATAATGGAGATCGGATCACCTCCAGGTACAAGGATGAAAGGATGGTTATTATTACTAATGGACTTGCGGCAAGGATATTTTGTTTTCCAAATCAGCTGAAAGGTCTCTGGCGGAAGGAAACTAAAACAAAAGATGTCTTCGCCAAAGGAGATCACCTACAGAACTCATTTTTTTTCTTTTGTCATTTTCTTCTCATTTTGCTTTACTTTGGCAAGTAGCCGTTCTTTTGAAAGAGTTGTAGAACAAACATAATATTGATAACGGAAATCATATCTACATCTAAGTATAACATTTACTATTAAAGCAGGCAATGCTATGTGATGTGGAGAAACAAGTACTTTCAAGAATGGAAGCTCATGTAGTATTTGTATGCCCACTTAAAATTGTTGTTGAATGCCTTTGATTTAGATAATAAGTTTAGATTTTACTTGTTTATATGTACACAATACAATGCATCAGAAAGCATGGGTGAAACATTACAATATCTAGCATACATGTATGTAATTGATACTTTTGGAACAATATAAACCATATTTAACAAGTTTCATTTGAGTAACCCCTTCACTACCAGAAGTAATCATTAAAGGCATTACAAAGTTTTGGTATGAGATCATAAATTTAGTTCAAATTAACATATTGGAAGCATATGCGATCTTACATTATTCAATGATCATTGTTGTGGTTGAAATCGAGTCTAAAGTGATGAAATTGTAAATAATACACTCTTTATGTTGTAAAGCGCCCTCTCAAGATTGATATTACTTTAGCTTTAAAACAATGTTTCTTGACTACAATCGACCAATTTGCTATTCCTGCTTGGAAATTATATATCAGAACTGTATATTCTGAGATTTTCATGGTTGCAGCTACCATGGAATGGCCTTAAGCGCTATTTGAAATATTTGAAATTTACCGGGAGCACCGGTAAATTTTTGAATATTCAATTTCTCAAAAGCAGAAGTGTTTTAGTACATCAACAGGGGCATCCAAATATATCAAAATTTTAAAGAATTGCTATCCATCCAATTTTTCTAAATTTCCCAAAACATTACCTATAAAGCAACTGATAAACCCATCTCACCTCCCATTCATCTTGATCCCTGTAAAGTTTAACATCTGATGGTAACGTTGCCATGTCAAAGAATTTGATGGCGTGCTCCGTTGCCACCACACGTACCTCCACCTGAATCAAAGACATATAAAAGATATTATATAGAGAAAGTTCTAAAGGTTGAAGATATTATTCACCATTTTCAACTGGCGAATAAACAGTTAAACTTATATATCTACAATGCTTGAATGAATATCACCATTTGATATATCTTGTTATCAATAACGAGATACAATATCTATATGCTACTGAAATCATTCCATTTAATTGGTTGTTGGCAAATTTGGTATAGAAAAGTAGTTATTGATGTTAATATTTCAAGTGTAACTAAAAAGATTTTTTTTGTTTTTTTGCTTTCGATGTTTGTTTAATAAAACACTAAGAGAGGGAAAAAAGGAGAGAAAATAACAGATTACTTGGAACCATTTCAATCCTGGGCAAATATTACATCAAATGTTTGTTCTTTTTTAAAATTTCGTTATCATTTTCACACCATTCATAACTACTCTTGATGATGTGTCACTGCCCCAAGTATGTTTCAAACATTATTGTTCATATTTCAGTAATCAAAAGCAAAATAGGACTTCAAAAACATAATTTTGTCCTCTGGGACACAGAAGGGTTTGAATGAGCATGTATCCTCTTGTGCCCATCTGGCTCTCATAATGAGATTACATTGAGCTTTTGTCGGTAATCTAAAGAGAACAAAGACTCTCAAACCATTTTGTGTCTTCTGAGAACCATAATAGTGGTAACATCTGCATGTATATCGTCTGTTCAGTGCCAGAACTCTTAAGGCTTAAAAGCATATGAGTTAACAGTTTTCTAGATCTGACCCCAAAACAGAGCGTATCCTTTACAAGATAGCATCTTTCAGGCTCTCAGTACATTACACTATGTCACTGTCCTCTCACATGATGCTCCCTAATGTAAAGCAATCATATGAAACATCCCCCTCTTCATCAAGTCACTAAGACCTATAATTACGATTCTTGGCAGCATATAGCAAAATTTGAAATAAATCCCCACATCATCAAAAAAGGAATTTGAAGAGATCCATAGCCTGATGACGGTTGCAATGAAACACAAAGAGAAAATTTATATTTTGCGGGACAAGCTGTATTAGGCACATAAGTAATGAGAATTCCATCTTGATCTTGAGGCACTTTGATAGTTGATACTCGTGATTGGTTTTAGGTTTTATAACTAAATAGCAATTTATAAAATAAATTGTCTGGCTGTATTTCCATATTCATGTCTCCTCATTTCTCTTACTAACGAATCTACCCCACTGATAACAAATTTTTCTATTTTATAGAAGTCGTACACTCTATCGCCATTCCCCATTTCCTTTTCTCGCCCAAGTTGTAATATCTGATACTGATCTTATATTTCCTTTCTTCTAATCTCATCTCCCCCCCACCCTCCCCCCCCCCCCAACCCCCCCTCTCTCTCTCTCTCTCTCTCTCTCTCTCTCTCTCTCTCTCTCTCTCTCTCTCTCTCCCTACCCACTACTTCTTTTTACTTTCCTTTTATTCAGTCCCCTGTTGCACCCAGTTGTTTTTCTTTTAGAAATAAGAAATATGAGTACAGGTGTGTGTCAAGGGTGTGATCCTCTACTTAAGGCAGCTGGACTCTGATATGAACATCTATATATAACATACATATATACCAGCAAGTTTTACAGCTTTAATTAGATTTGTTCAATGTTCTCAGTTTGTTCTACATGTAGTATAGCAGTGAGAAGAGAAGGGATAGATACACCTGAATAAGGTAGACCGATAGATAGATGGGTAAATAGAGAGAGAGAGAGACAGAGAGACAGAGAGAGATGGGGAGTGAGGGAGGGATGGAGATGGAGAGATAAGGGAGGGAGGGAGGGGAAGGGGGGTGAGGGGAAGGGAGGGAGAGAGTGAGAGGGAGGGAGTGAGAGAGAGTGAGGGAGAGAGAGTGGGAGAGGGAGAGAGTGAGTGAGGGAGAGAGAGTGGGAGAGGGAGAGAGAGGGGGAGAGAGGGAGGGGAAGTAAAGAGAGACGAATGACAACAGGAGAAAAATGGAACATGTACACACAAAAAAGTATAAAGCAGTAAATATGTAAATTATCATTGTGTTAAAGCATTGCGTTAAAGAAAAGGAGAGAAAGAAAAAGATAGAGATGAACAGAAATGATAGATGGGTAGTCTTACAACCAAATTGAATACAATCTCCTTATCTGCATTTAATTGTCAAGTAAAAAGAAGAGATAGATTGAGATAATGGGTAGCTGATGCACTTACATTTCCATTAATTCTTGAAAGAATGCTAGTATAGATCTCCATGGATTGTAAATGCTTTCATCAAAGATCAAACATAATACTTGGCTGCATCAAGTGATGAATGTTATACTAGTGGAAGTCATCATTTGTCTCATTTCAATCTTCACTAGATTTTGGTAGAATACAAGTCTCTTTGTTTAACTTAAAACTAAATTTCCTATATAAGAAACTGTTGCAAATAAAAACATCACATTTATATCATAACATGCCTTGAATGTGAGTGAGTGATTTTAGCTGTAACAGATTTTAATATTCACTATTAAAGGCTTTTGGTAAACTTTTTTTGTTTAAAGAGCCTGATACATCCAGCATGTTTCTTTTACAAATATCCCAGTGATTGGCTCCTAGTCTGACTGCACACACATCATGCACATTCTCCACTCCCTTGGGAGTATTCCAGTCAGATACCCTGGAAGCAAACATCATAATTCATAATTCTTACTTTCTTTACTTTTAAGCCAATGCGCATACATAATTACATAGATTAGAAAAACTGGGGAGACTTAATGAGCTTGCTTTTATTTTTAATGAAGAAAGACAATTTTTGTAAGCCCTTACGCTTCTAGAGTAGAATCATGTATTACAATGAGAACTTCAAAAGCCAATTATTCATCACGTTTCTTTTTCAAAACAACAGCAGCACCAACCATAACAACACCACCACACCATCGACAATAACAAGTGTTCCATGGTATCAAACTTAAAGATTCATGAACATTGTCTGAGTATAATGAAGAAAAGCAACGTTCTTTTGTAGTCAAGAAAACGTTAGATACACATTACAATGAGGGTCAATGAAATGTCCTACCATAAAGTAAGGGTTAATTGTCTTTTCAAAACTTTTCATGCCTACTGAGCTGGTATTTTTCATTTTTTATGTTTTAATAGCATGATACAATAATATAGATGTATTCATCAAGAAATCTTCATAATTAGCCATAGGCCACATGCATCAATAAAATCAACCACAGGAAATTCATTATTCTGTTCAAAGGAGCTCTCTTTTGAATGTTTTCCACAAAAAAAATATATTACATCAACGTTGGCTTTTATGTTTCTTTACTTTGTTCCAGGGCTCTCTAAAGGCAATCCCGGAGCTATGTATTTTGCTTTCCACTTGCCTATAATCAGATTATTATCTCTTTTCACCCGGCTCACACACCTACAACAGTAGCATTATATCAGTTTCTCAACTCCTTTCCTAGAACTCCAGATTACATTGTTTCAAGTCAAAACTGCATGAGTGTTCCTAATAAGAAAAGAAAATTGAAAAGGGTTGTGCAAACACTAATTTCCAATAGAACCATTTCTAGGGAAAAGGAAGGTTTACATAATAACATTGTATACATGTATGTCTACAATCCAAAACCTAATTAATCTCGGCCCACATATAGGTAGGTATAACTAAGGGTGGATTCAACAGATAGGATCTGGGTCTTCATAACACTCCTTGAGGGATGTAATTAAGTTTGTACAGATTGGCCCATTTCACACTATACGACCTAATCACGTTTATACTCGCCTAGCTCCAGCCATTTTGGTCTTTCTCTTCAAAAGACCAATTCACATTCAGACTTTAACCTTGCTCGAAGTATAACATTTCCACTTGCCTATAGATCATGTTCTAGTAGATGATGCCCTTGAGAATGTCACGTCCTTGAGGGATATAATTAACTTTGTACAGATTGGCCCATTTCACACTAAACGACCTAATCACATTTGCACTTGCCTAGCTCTAGCCCTTTTGGTCTTTCTCTCTAATATCTTTGACCAATTTACATTCAAACGCTAACCCTGCTCAAAAGTATAACATTTCCACTTGCCTATAGCTTATGTTCTAGTAGATGATGCCTTGAGAATGTCACGTCTTACGATTAATTGTCACACTTGCCTAGATCATGTCACTAATGCCCTTGAAAGATTGTGGTATCACTGACTCATTCATATTCATGATTTCATCCTGCTCAGTATACATGTATATATACACTTTTGAACAAAACATGAGTTAAAACATGAGTTGAATCATGAGTGAAAGTGACATTAGTACATGTATTTTAGATGTGCCCATATATTTCATTCTATTTTTCCCGTTTCTGATATATTCACAGATTTAATGATCAATTTGATGATTTCAAGTGGATTTGGCGAGTTATAAATCTCATATATAATAGTATCCTTAATAAAAGAAAGCTGTCCATTTAGAAAAATCACAGATTTTCAATTTAGTTAATTTTATACACAAAATTCAACAATAAGAAAAAAGTATTAGAAGTAATGATGTATCTTTTGACAGTTCATTTTATAACCATTGTTTAAAAACTTGGTGGCATGTTCTGGGTTAAAGATCACAATTTCCCTACTTTTTGACAAATCTTGATAAAGATCATGGCAACAAATATCTTACTCCTCAAAGACCGTTCCTCCCCTCGGGACATAGCAGACAGACAAGTCAATAAATCTCTTCAAAAATGGATGCATATGTCTTTTGCAAGGGATGATCTTTATGTTCCATTTCCTCAGGCCATGTCTGGGCAACGCCACAGTACAAACATGTATCATATGTCGAGAGGCAGAAGCTCAGCACTTTGCATCACATCAACGCCCTTCTGACTCTCAAAGGGCGTTGTGAAGTCATGTGATCCAACGTCTACCTTCCTGAAATATTGGAGATACATAAATGTCAATAAAATTTGAAGGTCGTACAACACATGCTCCAGCTACACAATGGCTCCTAAGTCAATTCTCAATTCTTGA